ATAAAAAAAAACATTCTGTTTCACAAATCTTGTATCTCGACGTTTGTCGTACGTTGGTGAATTTCTTGCCGAATCGTACCAAACGCCTTTTCTATTCTGCGGATCAACTCCTTCCTTGTTCTAACTTCTGTCGCGTAGACGAGTGCTTTTGCACGTCCCCAGATGTAAAAATCCAATGGAGTTAGGTCTGGGGAGCGTGCAGGCCATGGAATAGGACCATCATGTCCAATCCACGCATTCGGAAAAACATCATTCAGATGTTCCCGCACAATCATGTTGGAACACAATTCGTCTGTCGCCATTGAAAATTGCCACCTGATTCACCAATTCTGGCAACTTATTTTGCAGAAAATGTAGATAATTATCTCCGTTAAGACGATCTGGCAAATAATGTGGCAAAATCACATGATTGCCAATTACTCCTGCCCAAACATTCACACTGAATCTTCTCTGAAAAGAGCTTGGCCTCTTCACTCTTGGGTTCTGATCTTTTGAAGCCCAATGGTGCAGATTGTGCAAATTTAGTATCCATTCCTTGGTGAATTTGGACTCATCCGTCCACAGAATACTTGTCAAAAAGTCCGGATCGTCCACGTCTGTGTGCAGCAAGAAACGACAAAACCGGCCTCGGTTGTCGAAGTCATTGTCTTCAAGACCTGCAATCAAAAAAAATACGGGTAACATTAGTCTGCCGCCGCTACATGCTAAATAAAGTTGTAAGTGTGATAAAAAAAATTACGTACCTTCTACAGGAGTGCAGTGGAAGGCATGTTATTATCCGACCGAAAAAATGTTACCCTGTACACAATTTGCAAATTCAAGATATAATTTCAACTTTTTTGTGACTTGTGGCATACCATTAGAATCGGGATAAACCAGAGTGGTTCTTAAAAGAATTCTAAGAACGTGAACGCTTTTAGTTTTTTTAACAGAAATTCAAAATTGAGACTTACATTTTTTTGTTCTTCTTTGTAACTCTTTGTGAGTTTATAAATAGAAAACTAAATGCTGCTGGCAAGTAATGATTTTGTAAGATTGGTACAACATCACAGATTAAGATAAATTAATCATTAGGTGGACATACTATTTATTTTTTTATTTCACTTTGTGTATTACATTTTGGAGTTTTTACTAAAAAAATTAAAAATCTACATAAATAATGCCGTTGGGCTAAAAACTGTTTGAGGGATTTGGGGTGATAGAAAAAGGCCTCTCATGTCCGCCATTTCAATTTGGCAAACGATGCTCCAAACACCCTGTATATCCAACCTTCCAGCTGTGCAAAAGTCGGAAAAGGCTTATACAGTCCTTTTCTAAACCCTTCCACTTCATTATCATTTTTTTATTGGCACATAATAATATCACTGTCTTTCAAAATGGCGATATGGTCAAAGGTGGCCGTTTTTGTATTTCGACTCGCCCATAACTCATCGTCTTGAACGGATGTATTCGGTTATATAAAAACTATGGAAAGTTTATCAAAAGATTCAAAATGTAACAACACTTCTTTATACTAAATCGAAATTTGATAATAAATAAAAGGCATAGCCATACTTTTACTTGGGCTACGTTACTGGTTTCAAAAGTATCAGAATTATTCTTACTGCATTCTTTATCTTGTATATAGGAAACAAAACGACTTCCGAAACATCATTTAAGAACAGAATATTTCTGAAACAAACAATAAATAAGAATATTCATATCTTGTACCTCAGCATTATCCAATGTTGCATTTTATCTTGCCTAACTTTCATTTCTACCCAATAATTCTCTGCGAAATAACTGTATGTAAATCACTGATATAATATGCAGCTATATACAAACTACAACTTTCTTTACTATTCGATACCAACAATAGCAATCGAGAAGCTATTTTAGCATGGAACAGAAAAAAAAGTGAATCGTTCTTTGTCTTCGTTATGGTGCCGTATACTTTCCCTTTCTCTGACGAGGGCAAAAACATTCTTGCAGGAAATTCGTTCACATCAGTCCATTATTTGGAGTGGATAGTCAGACACCGGCACCGCATTGGTACGCCGAAGATACGACGTCCGGTATGGCGAGTGAAACGAACAGAACGAAAGGAAGCTTTGATAGCGATGAATGGTAGAAGGAAGTGTTACTTCTACTGATACTGCATTGTTAATTAACTTGCTAAATGCAGCATGTGATACTGAAAGAGGTTCTTTCAGTTTTATCTCTTCTTTTATTCAATTTGGTTTTTTTATACAGAAACAGCAGCAAGCCTAAATATCGGGACACCGCGGCTTGCCATGACGAGCTTAAAGTTACTATGCTATTCCGATTTATGAGCTGCCTAAGCCTTCTCAGGCGGATTGTACCACAATCTCGATACCTTAGGAACAAAGAAGCGGTCGTTCCGACCAGTTCTGAATGTACGTAGTTCGACAAGGTTAAGAAGGGAGGACGAAGTCAGGCGGACTTGTCTGACAGTCTCAGAGGGCGGTGGTATCATGAAGAGGGTTCTGAGGAGCAAAGCCTGTTGATATAGCGGTAGAAAACAGCTAGATCGCAAACTGAGCCTAAAATAGTTTTGGGAATTTTGTAGGGGAAGGTCTGAGCCTTAGGCACTTGGAGATCTCAAAAACTAGTAACATTACTTCGTATTTACTTGAATGCCAATCAACGGTCTAGTTGATCATCAGAAGTAGCCATGATGACTACAATCGCTGAAATAATCAAATTAGCGATGATTAATTGGTACGCTAGTGTTCATAATTATTTCTATGTTAATTTAGTAATTAAAGCTTCCTCATTCAAAATGGTGCAGTTGCAGAGCTATCGCGTAGCTACTGCTCACTATCACTCCTACCACATAGGCGCCCCATTGTCACTCAGGGGAGCACTAAAGGCCCGTATCGTTAGTCGTCCCTACAATTGTAGGGCGCCTATATGGCCTCCTTGATTGTCATAGTTTTCTACTTTTCCGTGTCAGCGCTCGATTTTGAGGTTATGTCACAAATATCTATTTGCATCAAATTGTGCTTGCTTTTGAGTAATATCATGTTTTATCAGCCTGAAATTTCCGGCAATTTAAAGAGAAAACATATCTTCACAATAGGAGAGTGCTGACGCTGACACGGGACATCTACAATCTAGAAATTTTTGAAGGAGAGAAAGGAGTATGACAATCAAGGAGGCCATAAACGCGCCCTACAATTGTAGGGACGACTGACGATACGGGCCTTAGTGTCCACTATGCTACCAGCATTGACATTCTATGCAAAAGTTGCATAAACTGATTTCAGACTGTGATACATGCTATTATTTAAGAACGCTACTACATTTTGATGACAAAGCAAATTTTCCAGAAAGTTTCACACCGAAAATGGAGCAAATGCCAACTTTTCTGTATATATTTTTTTAGAATCACCCATGGAATCACCCTAAGAAGTTTGGCCAGCTACTTTGTCAAACAATTTGTCTTGTCTAAAATTTTGTCAAAGTTTTCTGGTCTTTTATCTCTGTGTATAATTTATTATATTTAATCAACCCTAGATGGAATACAGATTTGTAGCATATGTTATACTTTTTGGTCATTAAATGGAAGTCACCTTTATTTCTAGTATTATGTAAATGATGGTTGACATTTGATGATGTTAAATTAATTAGACTTGATGGAAATATATTACTTTTACTTTATAAATGAATATCACTACAAGATATTTGATAAATTTTTTTCATTGAGCCATTTTAATTTGCTAAACATTTGTCTAATTGGAGTATATTTATCTTTATTCAGTGTTAGTCTCATGCACTTATTTTGTAAAATTTGCAGTCTTCCAAAAATGGAATTACTTGCTAAATATAGAATAGTCGAACAGTACAAGAAATTCGGAAGAATGATGGTATTATAGATAATTTTTCTGCTATATGAACTCAGACATCTAAAAACTCTTGATAAATATCCCACTTTACTACTAATCTTATTTATAACTTTTTCATAATGAATATCAAAAATTAATCGAGAGTCAAGAAAAACCTCCAGGTATTTAAAATTTACTATGAATTCAATATCTTCACCATCAATATTCAGTTGAACATTTGTACATTGTTTTTCCGATTAACATTTTACTTGTATTTAATTTTAGTCTGTTAGATGCTAAACATTTTCAAGTCTTCATTTATATAACAGATACCAGTCTGAATATTTTTAGTACTTATATAAATCATAGTGTCATCGGCGAAAATCTGAATTTTGCATCTTTTGACTATGGCAGGTAAATCATTTATGTATAAAATAAAAAGTAGTGGTCCCAGGATACTGCCCTGTGGAACACCCAACGTATTTTAAATTTTTGATGAAATAGTGTCATTAACTTTTGTAACCTGCATCCTTCTAGACAAATAATTTCTAAACCAATCTAAAACACTTCCTGATATACCATATGCCTTCAATTTACCTAACAAAATATCTCTATCAATCGTTTCAAATGCCCTCTTCAAATCCAAAAATATATACCCATTGCGGCGAAATTGACAGCTGCCAGCCTTTTATCAAGCGTCAATTTACATTTGGTACATATTAGCAAACAGTTAAAGGCTCATAGTTTCTTTTCTTTACCTAAATCAAATCTTAAATAGCTATAAATACACATGTCCTGTAAGAGATGTGTAAAATTTTTGGGACATCTTAATAATCTTCCACCTTCTTTGACATTTAATAAATCAACATCTAGCGCCCTTCTGTCTTTTTAAATTTGAATTAGTGATACTAGTTAAGCGTTCTGGTAATTTTTTCTCCCAGAGGGTATCTGATTGCGATCCTATACTATTTATAAAGGTAATGAAAATCTCAAAAGTTAATCAATTACTGTTCAATACATTTTGAGTAGACATAATTGGAGATTGCCGAATAGGATGTGTTCGCTGTTCGTCTCCGTAGCCGTTATCAAGCGTATACAACGTTGTTTTATGCTTTTTAGCAATAATCAGTACATTCTGAAAAAATCGCATATCGAAAACGTTTTTCTTTCCAGGTTTAGAAGATCCGTACAGGAACTCCTTCATATCCCCAAATTCAGCTTCCGATAGCCCTCCAGATGACATCGCCTCTGCAGAATGGACCTCCAACCCGCCAAGCAATACTGCAACGAAGGTCTCATTTTCATCGATCGTCGATGAAAAACAAGTGAATAACGACGAAGAGAAGTCTGAGTCTGATCCCATGCTGTCCAGAACGGCATATAAGAACATCGAGGAGGCTTTGGATAGCAACGACGTGGAGCTTTCTGGTAGGATGGAAGGCCAAATACGACCATCAAAAACGGTAAATTGCGTATACTTTTATTGGAAACATTTCCAGAGTATAAATTCGCGAATGCAATGGTATGAGTTTCTCCAAAGACAAGATAAGTTGACTTGTCCTGGTTTTGAGAAAATTTGTGAAATTAAAATTAAATCGAGGAAGAATCATATATAAAATCAAAATCCGCAAAGGTTTAAAATCTGAAAGATTTATGTTCGGTGATCTAGATGGCCATGGCCAAGTTTGTGCTAACCTTAATGGGGATTAACTATGATTTTGATGAAAAAGAAATACCTTGAAGATGAAACATTACCGCTTACATGTGTATACAGGGTGGAGCAAAATGAACAATATAATTTAAATTTTATATAGGTGTATGTTTTTATGAAAGTGCTTATTTTTATTTCAGGGTTAAGTGAACAAGCTTAATAAATTAAATTCGAATCAAGATCGCTCAGTTTAGTTTTAAAGACCGAGAGTATGCACCAAAAATAGACAATCTCATTTTTACCCTGAAATAAGTTTTAGTATTAAATCTTTACGTGAAACTTGTCAAGATTGTTCATTTTCTATTAGTGCAGCTCAAAATTGATAATGTTGTTTTTTAAAAAGAACGGTGAAAAGCTGTCCAAACCAGTAGTATCACGGCTATGAAACTACTACACAGTGGTCAATGGCTCGGTTAAGCAAGTTTGTAAGTTTAAATTATCCTTTGTTGTCATCAGACATGGAAAAGGAAGAGTACGAAAAGCCAAATTTAATCAAGTCAAGTCTTGTATACAGTTTTTCTGGCAAAGTTTTTTTTGGTGTCACAGAAAAGTGCGCCGATTAAATTTGTATTATTTAATTGGAGCTATCTGTATATTTTCAGTGAAAACTATTATAATGTTTACTAAAATTATACAGGGTGCTCTATTTGAAAAAATACAACATAATAGTACTTTACTTGCATATTAAAAATGTACAACTTTTATATAAACATTTTTTCTAAACGTTTATAGAAAAACGTATGACACATGTACCTCTACAAAAGCATTTTAGTTATTGTTTAACAAAAACAATATTAGGAATCACAACTTAAATTTTGCGCCATTATACTCGTATATAATTCTTTTTCTTTAGAATAACCCAATGAATTACCCCTGCTATCTTGACCAGGTACTTTATTAACACCCTGTATATTTTCAAAGCAACTTTATCTACAAAGAGCTGAACCATTCCTTATACTCATGTCTTGTGCTGGAAAAATCTGTGGCTGATGGAAAACGTGATGTATCTTTTTAGCAGAGATCCATTCTAATAGGACATCTTTCAGGATTTCTAGTCTGATTTAATAATAATAGTATTTTATTTCAGCAAAATAACAAATAGATAGAAAAATCAAGTAGACTGGTGACGAAGTCTACTCTGCTTAACCACCAGCGAGTTCACACTCGAAGAACTAAAAGAATAATATTCTTTCTGGGAGGTGGTACATATGTGTACATATATGATTGATATTTCAATCCATTTCGTGCACATAATACTTTAACATATTATTTCGAAATACTTATTCCAGGATAAATTATCAGCAGCAGCAGATAACGCCATTCCAACGACAGCGGTGTCGGGGGAAGCCCCGGGGGCTCCGCAGCCCAAGTCACTCCCCTTGCTGCCGGAGCCCCACATCAGCCCTACTGCGACGACGACACCGGATTTTGCTACCCGATTGTCCCATCCTCCACCCTTCCCAATGGATAGGGGCAGACAGGCAAACCCTGATATCCAAGATATCATCACGGGAATCGTGAAGCTGCTTAACGGTAAGAAAAAAATTGGGTATTATTTTTAAGACATCGTTGGTTGTTAGAGCGGTCCGTCGGAGCTTAACTCTTGTGTCGTAGTATCAGTATGTACTTATTATTTTTCAAGTTAATACATATTCTATGTCAGGTCGTGACAGGCCAGTATCGTAGTTCGTTATATTATAGCAATTTCCCTAGCGCATAGTAAATAAGGCAAGACAGCCCAGGGCCCCTTTTACGTGTTCAGCGGCTCGTATTGATCAACGTTTTCTAAAAACGCAACCTTTTTAATTTTTAGGAATAGCTGTTATTCCATTGTGTGTAGTATGTTTGCAGCTATTATGGTTGTATTATTAGCTTTTTAAATCCAAACTGCGAAAACCGATTGAATTCTCACACATTTCTCACATGATTTTTTTATTATTTTGACTGAAACATCCAATATCTGGAGGTCGTTAAAAAATCACAGAAATTGATAAATCTTGAAAATGAGTTTTGACCAATCACAGTCTGAAATCAAAATAACACAATATGTTTCTTAGGCTTATATCGTCTAATATCATTCGATTTCTAGGCAATGTTAACGTCCAAGCAAATACGGCTCCAGCAATGGGCAGACCTCTACGACCTTTATCGACTAGAATTAATAATAGAGGACCTCCTAGAATAACCGATATGCCTGCCTTGCCTCCGGACTTTGATGTTCCCGCACCATTACCTCCTCCAGTAATAGGTAAGCAATTTATGGATACCTTCAATATTAAAATCACATTCACCTATCTTCATGCTGTTCATATGGCATTTAGGCCGCACCATATCAAAACAAACACAGCTCTATTGCCTAATCCTCGTGCTACTATTGGCCAGTTTGTGGGTAAGCAACAATCAGCAAAAAATGCAAGAATTGATAAATCTTAAATTGTTATGACCAGTGGCGCTCCCAGGATTTCAGTCTGGGAGGGGTAAAGTGGAAAGTAAATTCTCAGTGTGACGCACTGAAGTGTTATAATGATTTAACATTAAAAACATGGACATATGCAGACATATGAATTTGTTACAGTAATTTCTGTAGAAAATACATAAATTTTTTTTTAAAAATGAATCATACGAAATTTGTATTCTATTACAGGTCAAATGCCACCTCCATTGTCAACTACACGTCTGCCTACACCTTATCCGTTTGATGTACCAAGTCACAGCAACATGTCTCCAGTGAGGCCTTACGATTCCAAACCTTCACATAGCAGCAAGAGACCTGGCTTCTACAGGTAACGAATTATACTTTATAATATAATACTGTGACACCTCCATATTCCTGGGATTCAGTTATCTTAAGGCTAGACATATTTATTAATCCATTTACGGTTTCCCATTTCGGGACATAGTACATTAGCTTTACATAAATTATTAAATTGAAGAAGAACTCCACTTATATTTAAAACCTAAGAAACTAATGTGCTTTTTTATGTGCTTAACATATTGATACTGAAAGCGTCTATATTGCAGCTTATAGCGATGTTGCCAGATCTAAGAATTCTAGTAACTGGTTCATTCTTACCATAACTGGTAGAACAGTGTGGAATCGTAAACAGTTATGTGTTGCTAGTTTGTCTTTCATTAAAATTAAGATTTATTTGAGCAAGCAACTCTGGGCAGTTTATGCAACCATTAACTATTTTAATCAGAAAACGTAAATCAAAAATTTCCTTGTGGTGCTTCAAGAAATCATGGTTCAACGTACCCATTAGCTCTGAAACTTTCTGAATTCCCCCATTTTAATAACTGCCTGTTTTAAAAAAAAATACCTTTACTTGCTGCTTCAATGGAGTATAAGATTCTAAAAACTTCTACGAGAGATATTTGGTGGATCTAAAAATGTATAACAATGTATATATTTTATATCAGTTCTCATTAGATCACGGTTTTCAACTTTATATTCATACATATACGGCTGAAGCTTAACTGATAGCATCTATTTAAATTGATGTTGATCTTATTAGTAGTACACCACAGAGTAAGATTTATGGGATCTCTTTCCGCATCTTGGATATTTCTCACTGTCCTGGATAATTTAAGATCATTAAAAATCGAATAACTGATATTCTGCAACATCATTAACAAACAAACTGGATAAAATATTGTTGAGCAGTTCACTGAAAGCGTTGTTATTTAATTGTTAACAACAATGTTTTAAAACAAAATATGCCGGAAGTAGACGTAGACACTTCACAACCTCAAGCATACTTCTGACCGTGTTTTTAAGCATTGAAAAAGGCATTTATATGGTTTTTCAGACTCTAAATCGCTTATAACTCGAAAATGTTCAACTTTCACGAGGAGTTACTAAGGAATGATCAGGTTGATATAAATTCTTGAAAAAATCATATTCGTAGCGAAAAATAAAAACATTTCGACAACCACCGAATTCAGGTTAAACGGCCTCCAACAAACGCAAAGATGAAAGAAATGTTTAACCAGGACCGACTCGTATGCAACCCGTCGCGCGATATCCTCGTAAGTACCGTAGATTGTCAGTTCAGCCTAAAGAACTCACAATTTCAACCCTGGGAGTGTTACCTATACAGGGTGACTTTGAAGTTGAGTCATTAATTTTCAGATAATGATTGTAGAAGGAAGATAAACCAAAATATGTGTGTAAAAATAAAAAAAAATAAAAAAAAAATTTTACCTTGTTTTATAAAGTATCCTCCCGACAAGTATTTCATTGCGGACCTGTATTTGATCGTGAGGTCTTGGAGCACCGGCATGCCGTCCCCTGTGAGGTCTTAAGTCACCTGATTCACGAGCCCGTTGTACTACATTAACAAAGGCACGAGGGGTTGGTTGCACTCGATTGGGAAACCGATCCGCATAAACATGTGCCATTTTTTATTTCGTTTGAGCCACGCAACAGACACTACTATTCACTCACGCGTTACCGACTGACACTGACTGTATACAACTGAATAAAATAATTGTAAAAACATCGTTCCAAATTATTTCGCTTTTTTGTTTCCGATGCGATGAACCGATAAGGCGGATTATATCCGTTGTTGCCAAACACGAGCACATAATATTATTATTGAGACAGGGCGGTACTCAAACTTCCAAAGGGCTATAACTTTGTTACTTTAATTTTACCAGAAAAATGGTAAAGGAGAAAAACATTTCTTTTGATCAGATCTACTCACTGTTAAAATAAATGACTCAACTTCGAAGTCATAGTTGGAAAATTTCTCCCACGAACGTGAGATCTTCTGTTCGTTTATACAGAGGATCTACAATGAGCTGAATTATGCTCAATGTTTACTAATCCAAGATATTTCCATTTTCTACAGGCCGGTGACAATCCCACCCTGGAACCGCCGCAGACCCCCTAACAGACGTCCATCCATCCCCCATCCCTACAAACCCCTGCCACCGATGTCATCAGAACACATCAGTCTGACCTCAGAGCGACCTAACGAGGACGTCCTCACGCTTGACCTTGGTTCGCACTTGGCACCAAGCGGGGACGCGTTCAGCCATGAACAAATTGACGCTAACCAGGAGCAGGAGATCCCTTTGGATGATAAGGAAGGAAATCATTCTGAGCATGTACAACAGTCTGAGCAATTAGGACATTCAGAGGCTCCTGAGTTGAGCACGGATGGAATTTTGGAGAACTCCGAGGTTGATAAGGAGACTGCTGATTTTGAGAAGAATAAAGAAAAGGTAAATCAGCTTGGTTTACTCTTTTGGGAATCTATTTTAAAACACCGATATATGGCCACAGAACCTAGGCAAAATAAGTCACAGTGCATTTCCTTTTTTTGACGTATTTTAGAATGCCATTTTTTCAGACACTCCAGGATTCCAAACTCAAATGCTATGGAAAATTAATTTCTGATTCCTTCTTTCCAGAATAATCCTGCATTACGTACAAACAGAATCTTCGGTTTCATTAAAATTATTTAATTCTGCATGAAGGTCCAAAATGAAATTTAAAGGATTATACGATTTTTTCACATTCTTTGTTTTATAAATGAAACATCAGGATCATCTCTCAGTTACAGGCTTTCCAACTAGTCATTTATAGGTTATTACTTCCCAGAAACAATTAAAAAAATCCAATGTGCGATGAATCATTAGGGGAAAATAGTAAAGAAACGTATCAGTGACTGTTCGGATTTCGTCGTTTTTGGGTTTAAAAATAAAATGTCCTCAATGTAGAACACTCTGACCTCTCTAGATATTCAACTGTTCCTATTAGACATTCTTTGAAATTACTTTCGTCAGTAGCTTTTTGTACGAGATAAATAAACCTACGTGGTGCAGGATGGAAACCTCCAGGAAGACAATGTAAATATACATGCGGAGCTTTACCACCATCTTGAAAATATCACAAATTTAGTATCGACTAATATTATAGATGCAAAATTATGTTTTGTTTTCACGTCAAAATGAAATCTATATACATCTAAAATTGGAAATAATGAGGTTCTTTTCAGAAGGCAAACTGAGGACTAACAGGTTTTGTGACATAGGCGAAAAATGCCTTATGGGCTGTCGTAATTTTAGTTAACAGTATAAGATTTTGGTACCTTTAACATTTTTAAGCGTGGGAAGTCGCGGGTAACAGCACTGAATATGCTCTTTGTTATTGTTCCAGGTCACAAATCCAGATAAGCATACTGTTAAAACAACACTGGTCACTCCAACCTTCAATACTGCACCAAAGTCTGACGAAGTCTCTATACTGGACAAGCCCACGACTACATTACCAGATAACTCCACAGACAATTCCACCACTTCCGTTGTTTCAGAGGCCCAAGCACCAACACAAAATCAAAGCTCTGTTTCGATAGAACCAACAAGCGCTACTAAGGAATTAGAGGCAACTCCTATGGTCAACGTATCTCTAAGCGAATCTTCTAATGAGACGATCTCGGTTGAGACTACAACGCCAGTCTTGGAATCTTCGATGCTGGAAGTGTTGAGTACTTTGAAGGAAGAACTACTCAGTAATGGTACTTCTACTTTGGTTGGCACTGAGACCGAGAAGCTTCCTGATATAAGCAGCACTACAGTCGAGAATGTTTCAACAACCACTGGGGTTGCAACGTCAGCGTCTTCCATCACCTCTACGGGTGAGATTTTTATCTGTTTGAGAACAATTGAGTAGTTATGATGTAACTTTAGAACTGAGTCCTCGGCTGCTAGCATTCTACTTCAGAAGAAGCATCAAAAATGTATTCGAACACTTATTTTGATTTTTTTCATCTTTATTTAAAAACTTCTAATAAAAATTTTTCATGTTTAGCTTCTTCCAGTCAGAATTCAACCCACAACCAATCAGCTCCTATGAATTTCCCTTACTTCCCGTATAGACCAAGACCTGGCATTGTTTTGGACGACACAGAGTATAAGCCTGGAGGTATCCACAGACAACCAATTTTGACCAGGCCGCCTGTCGGACAAATTGGAGATATATTTGACATCACGGTTTCTGCTATCCAAGGTCCAGGAGGGGCTTCGTCAGGACAAGGCAAACCCTATATTATACCAGGTGAGTAAATATTTATACTATACTTCTTACTTAAATTTGTTTTTATATCAAGCTACACCGATATCAGATATTACAGGAAGATTATCCAGAATTTAATGTTCGATCCTTGTGGTTTATCAGGGGTTACACTGAAGCATGATCAAAAGATACGAGGGCGACTCAATAAGTAACCCGTGTTATAAATGAAGACACCATTTTTTCCAAAAAAATTCTTTTTATTTTTCAACATAATCCCTTTTTAGAAAGATAAACTTTTCCCAACGTTCCTACCATTTCTTAACCCCTCCAAAAAATAGGGTTTGCCGAACTCTCCAAAATACGCCTGTCTCGGTGATGACTAGAAGCGTTTCTGGAAGGCTTTTTTCGGAGGGACCTTAGCTGTTTCAATCTCGGAAATGGTTTCAAAACGCTTTCCTTTTTGGAAGAAAGAGAAATCGCATTGTGATAAGACCGGAGAATAAGGCCGATGTGGACGAACAGTCATATTTTTTTGCCAAAAACTCGCGAAGAAGAAACGATGTGAGGCACGGTTCATTGACGTACGTCCTAGGGTTATAATAAGCCCTTATACAAGGGATGTCTTTTAAGTTTTGCATATGGAAATAAAACAACACGGTAGGTAGTTTTCAATGACTTTATTGTTTTTCGAAGTATTCTCCACGAACATTAATATGCGCTCGATCTAATTTTCGAAGCACTTATTCCACTCGTTTGCTAGCAGATCCAAAATCGCATTTTTGAATGCGTCAACTGCTTCTTTTGGTGACTGGAACCTTTGACCACGCAGTCTGTTTTTAATTTTCGGGAAAGTGAAGAAATCGTAAGGACTTAGATCGGGACTATATGGAGGATGGTCCAATAATTCCCCGTTTTCTTCCGTTAAATACTGCCCTGTCTTTTGGGCTGTGTGCGAGCTTGCATTGTCTTGGTGGAGGATGATTCTTCTTTCGGGGTTCATTTTTCGAAGCTCGGTGATGACTTTTGGCAAACAAATGGTGGTATACCAATACGCAATAACAGTTCTTTGCTCATTAAGAGGAATTGTTGCAATATGGACCCGCTTTTGACACAAATGTCGCGACCATCTTTTTCGAAACACTTCGAGAATGGATGACTTTTGTTGGCTTTTATTCACCTTGGAACACCCAAACAGCCGACTGTCGTTTATTTTCTGGTTGATAACAGTAAATGCACGACTCATCACCACTAACAATGCTGTACAAATTTTTTTAGTTTCCGGAACTGAAACGGTATAGCGTTTTTTGACACCAATTACCCTGGCTATTTTCTGCTCTTCAGTCAACAGGTGGGGTATCCAACGAGAAACTAATTTTCTTACTCCTAATTTTTCATGTAAAATTTTTTGAATTCAGGTCTTTGAGATCTTCAAGGACGCTTCAATCTCGCGATATGTCACTTGTCTATCTTCAATGATGAGTTTGCGCACAGCATCGACGTTTTCCTGGGTGACTGCCGTTTTTGGTGCACCCACCCTGGAATCGTCGCTAAGACTCACCCGTCCACGTTTGAATTCTCCCTACCAACGGGAAATTGTCAACTGGTGTGGCGCTTCGTTGCCGAAAACAGACAGTAACTCAGCAAGGCATTCTTGTTGCAATAATTGTCTCTGAAAGTTGTAATAAATTATGGCGCGAAGATGATCTCGGTTGAGTTCCATTTTTCTAATGACTTGGTGACACTTAAAAATTCACTGTAGTGAGGACACTGTACGTATTGTTCTGAAACTTTGAATTTAAGTTTACTAAAGAGTGAGGTTAAGATTCAGTACTGACGTTCGATCCGCGCGGCCTATTATGTTCAATCATCATCATCTTCAAAGTGCTCTCCCTGGCTAGCGATTATCTTAATAGTGATTCCGTGACAAAACGCTTTCCTTTTCTGGAAGAAAGAGAAATCGCATTGTGATAAGACCGGAGAATAAGGCCGATGTCGACGAACAGTCATATTTTTTACTAAAAACTCGCGAAGAAGAAACGATGTGTGGCACGGTGCATTTTCGTACGTCCTAGGGTTATAATAATATTGTAGGCGGAGTTAAAGGGGCATGGGGGCATTACCTCCTCCCTAAGTTTCATCACCAAGTGTGAAGAAAATAAATTGCAACCATTTGGCAGGCTTCTGTTGGTATGAGAAAATTTGTAATGGGCAAAGTGTGCACCCTCACCCAACAAACTTTCCCTAACTCCGCCTATGTGTAATATCCGAAGTTTACAGTCGTTATTCTTGGAACAAACTCTGATCGCGCTATGGCCTCAGCTTAAATAAAAAAAACAATGACTAATACGCTCTCTTATGGCGAGAAGAGGAACTCGTTTTTCATTGGGAACTCTGCATGTTTGTTGATTTTTCTTTTACTCATTACTTAAAAGTCTAGGTGTACTGACTCTCATCTGTAGATTATCGGTTAAAATGCTTTGTACGGACCCACAAGAGATGTTTACTTCTTCAGATGCACCACATGATCAGTTATTTAAACATTTTATGGTACTTTATGCACCTTTAAACAACTCGTTATTCTAAATTCATATTGAAGGACAAATAGCTTTAGAAGCTAATAGACAAGTCACAACTTGCTCAAATTTACGACACCTCATATGGGGTAGTTACAGCAATTTGTATCTATGACATGATAGTTTTTTACTTATACACTTTGGAATTCTGTATTATCTGTTGATGTGGTTACACATTTTGATAAGATTTTCTTATTTTAGTTGATATAGAGAGTGTGCATAACCAGCCAGATGTTATAACAAGTTCAACAGGAAGCGAAGGATTTGTTTCAATTGACGGAAAGAGGACGTATTTGAACCTCTTTGGTGACGGTGCACCATCTACTACTCATGGGGTTGTGAAACCAACAGCTCCTTTGCACAATCAGGTAACTCTCGTCAGATCGATTCTAAAGCTTACTGCGTGTCGAAGGTCCTAGAAAAGATTGATTGGGGAGCAATTAATAGCTGTTTACAATTAAAATCCAAATCTATATTTTTCTTGACATTTTTAGGTTACTGGTACCGGATATGCAGTTGTGGATGCAGAGAAGCCAACAAAGCAGAATTTGGGTGGCGTGAAGCCAACTCAGCGACGACCAATGTATGGACGACCTACAAGACCTAGTCAACCGCCTGTGAGGTCAGTATGAAGGAGAACCTTTACCGAAATTATTTTTCTTCAGACTGCACTTTCTCGATTTGATTTTATTGAATCTTCTTTAAAAGATCTGCTCGATTATTACCAATAAACAATAGATTTGAAGCTTCAAAGTTCATTATAAGTGGATTCCACTGTATTATTTCTTTTGTTTTTCAGGATTGACACTTGCATAGTAGGCGACGACTCGACTTGCGACGCGAGCCAGCACGAGATCTGCCGAACGGAGAGCGGCGTAAGCGCGTGTCATTGCAGGCCTGGAACCGCGCGCAGGCGTCGCAGAGATCCTTGCAGAAGGGTGGTTGCGGTTGCTGTACAGCTAAGGGTTGACAGGCTGTATGACAGGAGAGTGGCTTGGGTGGATGAACTGGCAGACCCGAGAAGTGATAGCCATCGGCAGCTCGCTTACGAAGCTGAAAGAGCGGTAAATAGTACTTTTATGAATAAAAAGACCGGCGGTAATAATTACCAGAAACAGTTGTCACTTACTAATTTTAAGACAAGTTCATAACAATACATGAAACAATACGCAACTGTTATGTACCGCTAGTAAAATTAGATTTTACTGAAAATTACAGTTTCTTTTTGTGTCAAAGTTTTTGCAAAATTTGGTAACGTTGAACAGTGTTTTTGTTGCCAATATCATAAGACATTTAAAAATCGAAGTTGTGTCTGAGTTTTTTATCAGACGTGAGACAATCCGTCTCGTTGTCACGCTCGACTGTTGCACCACAAAAACAGATCTTTTTCGTTCTCACTTCAGCCTCAGCGAAAAAATAACGTACGATTAGTAATCTCGCACTCAGATTCAATAGTGTGTGTCTTTGAAGTTTGAAGTTTCATCAAGCAAAGTCTCCATTTTCGTTACACTTAACTGTAAGTGAATTAAACTGGTTAAACCGGACCTTAAAATTTGCATATTCAGCATGATTTTGCGTAACATTTTGTACACTTTCACAAACACCTGTCTCTGCCAATGATCGGCCCTCTTGAGAAAAATTCCTATGGTTGTCCAGCTGACTGATTAAAGTTTCAATACAGAAAATTTCCATTTCGGTCCTCCATGGATACAAACGAAGTTAGAAATTCTGGAGCGATTTGAGACGCTGATTTAGAATATGGCCACAAAAGTGTCAAACATTCAAGGAGACCTTACACGAAGCTGCTCTTTATTGTTCGAAACTGGCGCAAGTCTGTGATCCCCGACTATCAAATGAACACTCGAAGCTGCAACTGGGGATGGCCAGGTTTAACAGCGGTAACCACCCGCGGTAGAAATGCAATGAATGCTGGCACTTATAGATCATTTTCATATGTTGTCACGATCTGCCTTCCTATTGAGTGTTTGTATGTGTGTTCAAAATTCTCCATTTGATATAGACGTAACAGATCGCGTGGTCAGATTGGTGCGTTTTTTACCAAACTTGAATTTGTCAAACCACGTCCTAATTGCATTTGCTGTTGACATAAAAGAAATATGAAAAGTGTGTGGCTTTTTAGTCCAGTCGTCAATTCGAAATGAGCAATCACTTACGCATGTGCAGCATGGTGTTTTCTTGCCAAGGCGCATATGCAGGTTTTGCAGAACAGAACCTTACGAACCATCACTAACGCACCATGGTATGTTTCCAACGAGACCCTTCACAGAGACCTCGACATCCCTTACCTAAGAGACTACATCAAACATCAGGCGCAGTTACGTTATAGTAAAGGGGAACAGCAACCCTCTGTTGCGTGAGTCAGTAGACTACACCGTCGAGCAAGTACGCACACAAATTCCTAAATTAATTTTTGTATTAATTTAAAATAACCGAATACCAGTTAACAATAGCAATGCATCCCTTTAACCCTTTCAGGACCGACGCGTCCACGAAAAAACATGCCTGCTGGACCAGAATTTTTGGATGGTCATATTACCCGGTGACGGCTATATCCGACGAAATCATAAAACAGTATAATTCTTTTTTTATTCTATTAAAGCATACTTAGAAACACAAACAGCAGTAAATAGAACTAAAGAAGGTCAATCAAAACTAAAATTGAAGCCCTAGAACTAATACCTGAAGACAAAAAAACAAAAATAAGAGCACATCGTATCAAAAAAACTCGAAAGACATTTTACTTCAGAAGTGATTTTCTTCATGATATATTTTGAAGCATGGAGCTGGACACAACCCAACATCGCATTCCTTACACATATATTTGGTTTCTTTTCTTTTCTTAGGTTTTTGTTTGCTGTGGGAACATACATAGCATCTCCTGTAGGCCGATTTGCTGCCTTCCTTGACTGTAACCAGATCGGGAAAATGTCTTTGTGTGAGTCTTTTATTTCCAAGATCCAGGTGAACAGATCTCGAAGGTGTTTTTTGAAACCTGCAAAAATCGAAATATAGAACTATTTTTAGACAAAAGGAAATATATATATATATATATATATATATATTTATATATAGGTACCTTTCCAACAACTGCCTAATCACTGCAAGTTGAAATGTGGCCAGTGGAACTTTTGCTGGATTCTGTGTCAAATACATGGCATGAGCATTCAATAAGCATATATCCATGGTATGAAAAAATAGTTTTTTATACCATTTCATGCTTTTGCGCGTTGAATCAATGCTGCTGATCATCATATCACTTCGGTCGACAGCTCCCATTTGCTTGTTATATTCCAAGACACATAATGGCTTCTGAAGGTTTTCATTTGTGACCCTATCCTTCCTTGGAAGACTGACCATTTTATTCTCATGTAGTGTAGTCAGCAGTGACATCTCGCCGATCTTTCCATTTAACCACCAACATGTTTTCACTGCTTCTCCAATCACATTCACCCCTCTTAAGTTTTTTGTCTAAAATTGGCATTTCTTTCCTATTTTGTTTCACGGTCCCACATGAATTGGTTTTATTTCAAATAGAAATGTTGACAAAGTTGGACTGGTATAAAAGTTGTCAGTAAAAAGAGAATGACCCTTGTTCATGTATGGTTGTAATAGATTACTGACAATTTCACCTGTAGCACCCAATCCACGAGTATCTTCTTGTGTGCCTTTGCCTACGTACACTATAAAATCCAAGACGATGCCAGTCTCACAATCACACATGACATACAGTTTGATTCCGAACCTATGTCTTTTTGTTTTGATGTATTGGCGAAAACTGAGGCGACCTTTGAAAAGGACCATACTTTCGTCAATAACCAAATGTTCGAAAGGATAAAACTGGGATTTGAAATTCTCTTTTAGAACGGTCAAAATATTTCCAAATTTCCCCAATCGATTGTGATCTCGCAATATCTGTTTCTTGACATAGTCTGTCCAAAAACGGGAGTGCTGAGTAAGATATCTTGGGTCCAGTACTCTTTGATATTCAGTTTCTTTACACGTGTCATAAGCAGAGTTACAGCGAAAAATACGTAAAGTTCTGGAATGTCAACGCTTTTCCACTTGGGTGCATCTCTTTGAATGGCATACCTATTTGTTTCGATGGCAATGACGTTCATAATATTTTCAGATAAAAGACTCAAAAAGAAATCTACTTCACTGCTTTGATCATTTAAACTAACATTTCTTAATCCGCTATTAGTACTATCAAATGCAAAAACTTGCGGAATAAACTCTTTGTCCGTCCATTTTATTTCTAACCTCGTACGTTCTCTAATAATATCCATTCTCTCGTCCATTGCTGTCTCAGGTTCCAAGACCGGCGTTTGAGATGAATCATGCTTGTTGTCTTCACCTTCAGACACTTGCAAGTAGTCGTCCTCTGAAGATTCACCTTCCGAGCTGGGAATAAACTCGCACTCGCTTCCACTGTCAGCAAAGGGATCTTCGGGCTCATCCTCATCGGAGCTCATAAGATATTGTGAAAGATTTCGGACTTCCTCCGGGGTCAGCCCACAATAGCCCGCACCTGCATTATCTCTTTTACGCTTATTTCGTCCTTTTCGACCGTCAGATGTACTGGGTTCAGCGTTATCCATCTCGCACAATGAACAGAACAACACAAGAGTCAAACACAAACTATGTCTACAATGTCCCAATAACAACACGAAACTGTTTCAAACCAGTCATAATAAGTAGATTTGCGTGCTCCACGTGTTCGACGCCGAACTCCCCCGAGCGTCCACCGTCGCCCATGTTCGACAGTGTCGGATTCTCAAGCCATTGGTCTGTGGGGAAATGCAGTGCTGAGCGGATTTAGCCGACACTGGTCCCTGTGAGAAGTTTAATTTTTAAAGGTGTCGTAAATGATCGACATTGGTTTTACCAGTTTGTTTCACCCCTATCGTATACAGCCGACACTGGACCTAGGGACAAGTTTCTTCCTGTCGGAACTTGCCGTCAGCGGTACCGAAAGGGTTAACCGGCGCACTTTACCCTCTTTTCATCTTCGCCCTTTCTTCCTTTCTTTCTCCCTGACTTCGTCTGGTATCTGGGCAACAAGACCTGACAGACATACTGACCTACGATACTTTAACAAAGAGCGAAGGTCCCACGGACCGCTCTGACGGACAATGACGAATAGGATAGATCATCTTAAGAAAACTGTCTAAAATGCATAATATTCTCTCAGCTCGAGTCCGCCATGTCCATGACTCCGTTCAGCGACGAGTTCCTAGCTGCCAAAGTGACAGCCATCTACCGCAGCACTGCCCCGCTGTCTAGCGGCGTATTCGTGAACGCCACCCTGGAGTTGGACGAAACTGCGGACACAGCGCGTCCTGCAGTCCGAACGGACATTCAGCGCCATCTTCTGGGTGTGATCCAGAGGAGGGGGAATAATGTTGGAGAGAGCGCTATTTGGGTGGACGGGCCCGCTGGGGCTGTGTCTTCGTTGCAAGGTAAGTGATAAAAATCGAATTTCTCTATCAGAAATTCAGTTCTTAAAATAGAAGTTCAGGTTATTAAGATTTTTATTGATACGCATTGATATGTATAACTATGAATCCATTACCGTTTCCTAAAAAATTACTCCACAAGCTGGATGGTAGTATTTTTATTCTCCTGTAGCCTTTTAGATTTCTTTGGTATTATGTATCAGATATTCGCAAACCTTAGTAATGGAGGTTCTTGACCTTTTTTCACCGCTCGACTACCATTGCATCGATTTTTGTCCCTGATATACTGATAACCTTCTGTCGAAGCTTCTTTAAATTCGGAACAAGAAGTTTTCGAAGTGTTATGGTGTCAAAAACTCAACAGATCGACGCTGTGGTCCGCAACACCAGAAAAGCATCCTCACAACCTTTGTTTAGAAAAGCGTTTTTGAGGTAGATAATTTCAAACCTGTTGTCAAACAAACAGAAATTGAATATGGCGTAGGATCCTTGAACTAAGATATGATGTTGGTATGAGATTATTATAATATTATAGTGATTGCCGAGTAAGAATTTCTTAAAGAACACAGAAATATTATATTTCAAACACAAAAAACAAGAAACTACGGTATGATTACAACACTTCTGAAAAACTTTATAAACATTGATGTCTGAAAGAACGAATTTAGATAAAATCTTTGATTAATTTTGCAGCTTTCACATTATCCTCTGCTCTTACTTTCATTTGTGTTGAAATGGTCAGTTCTTAAGAGCTTGTGCTGGTTCGTAAGTGGAAAGTTTTCAATCTTTTAGTTCTTCCAGAACTATCAGCAAAACTTGATTCTGGTCGGCCTTTAGTGCATTTATTATAGGTGATTTGTCCATATTTCTGAAAAACTGTGAAAGTTAGCAAAATTTGATTCTAGATTTTGCCTCGCTACTTCAAGGTAAAGGATGGAACTTTGTTAAAAGCCCTTCTGGATAATAATAATAACAGAAAAAGTGACAGAAAAGTAATGATACAACAATCAGGATACATGTTTATTATATACGTATTAGATGAAATAGCTTCTTTAGTAGAATCCATATTGAGATATCTTGGATTTTTCAAAACACAACATGGTGAATAATGTAGAACATCAAAAAAGGTATGATAAATTACTTACCTCAAACTTCAAGTTTAAAGATCTGTCATAGCGAAGGTACTGTAAACAAACTTACAAATACATGATGAATGACATCCATTTCCATTACCTCCTTTTCATCACTTTGTGACCGCGCTTGACAGTATATCGGCCTATATTCTATCGAGTAATCCGTAAAGATTAGATTCGCAGATATGATTCAGCAAATCTGAATCAAACCAACCTCTAGCCATAGTTACAATTCCACAAGTTAATATCGTGCATACACATCTATTTTCACATAAAGGTTTCTTTCCTCACCTACCGTTGAAGTCTCCGTAGTTTAATATAAATAAATGAGTTGCTACACCGTTCTGTGAGTTCTCAAACCCAATTTTACCAAGATTAATGATATGGAAAAATGTGAAATAAGATCGAATAAGTCACAATACAATGTAATACAAAGTACAATGTCGGCCGATAGATGATCGATTAATCCGTACAGATCAGATCTGCAGATACGATTTAGCAAATCTAAATCAAACTAACCTCTAACCATAGCTACAAGTCCACAACTTAAGATCGTTCATCCACATTAGGTCATAAATCTATTTTCACATAGAGGTTTCTTTTCTCACCTAACGTTGCAGTCTCCGTAGTTTAGTATGCAGAAATCGGTTGCTATACCGTTCTGTCATCTCTAAAGCCCAATTTTACCAAGACTAATGATATAGAAAAATGTGAAAATAGATGGAATAAGTCACAATACAATGTAATACAATGTACAATGTTGGCCTATAGATGATCGATTAATCCGTACAGATCAGATCTGCAGATATGATTTAGCAAATCTGAATCAAACTTAACTCTAGTCATAGCTCCAAGTCCACAAGTCAATATCGTGTATACACATCAGGTCAAAAATCAATTTTTACATAGCGGTTTCTTTCCTCACCTATCGTTGAAGTCTCCATAGTTTAGAATACAGAAATGGGTTGATACACCGTTCTAAGGCCTCTAAAGCCCAATTTTACCAAGACTAATGATATAGAACAATGTGAAAATAGATGGAGTAAGTCACAATACAATGTAATACAAAGTACAATGTCGGCCTATAGATGATCGATTAATCCGTACAGATCAGATCTGCAGATATGATTTAGCAAATCTTAATCAAACTAAACTCTAACCATAGCTACAAGTCCACAAGTTAAGATCGTGCATACACATTAGGTTATAAATCTATTTTGACATAGAGGTTTCTTTTCTCACCTATCGTTGAAGTCTTCATAGTTTGGTATGAAGAAATTGGTTGCTCCAGCGTTTTGTGTTATCTGAGGCTCGATTTTACTAAGCCAGGGTGCAAAAAAGCGGGTGGATCACTCATTTAAACCAACGGGAAGGCCTTTTTGAAGTAATGAATCTAATGGATATGGTCGATTTCTTGTAAAATGCCTAAATTTAGAGAAAAATTGTACGGTTTGTGTAAGATAGGTTCCCATATTAAATCAATAAATCGATCGTAAATTAATTCATTTAGCTACAATGACCTATTTTTTCATTTACGCCATACCTACTCGAAGCATGGACACAAAGCTGATACAATATCTAGATTCATATCACAGCAAGGTCGGTATTAAGTATTAGGTGCGAGATATTAAAAAAATATTCAATATTTTTGGAGACATCGTTCAAATTTCCTTTGCGGCTATTGCCAAGTGTCTGAGAAATATAATCACATTGCTAGAAATTTGGAAAAAAGTCTAAAACTTGGTGAAGCGACCAGAAAATGTATATTATGAGATTTCTCTGATGTCTGTTTACGAATCTGCTGTCAAAATAGCTCTATTGTCAAAATGGCAGAGTTACTGTTTCGGAATCAGTATTACAATAGACAAGGCAGTGTTGAAACAAAACTGTTTCTCAAAAACGGCTCACTTTACTTTTTAATTAGGCGAGCACACACTTTTCAGATGAACGATACGGCTTTTCAAAGATATAATTTTTGAGTCAAGGTGTCAATACACTAGCTGAGACCTCACGTCATACTGTCTATAGAAAACAATTACTATATTGCTATACAGGGTGACTTCGAAGTTGAGTCATTTATTTTAACAGTGAGTAGATCTGATCAAAAGAAATGTTTTTTTCCTTTAACATTTTTGTGGTAAAATTAAAGTAACAAAGTTATAGCCCTTTAGAAGTTTGAGTACCGCCCTGTCTCAATAATAATATTATGTGCTCGTGTTTGGCAACAACGTATATAATCCGCCTTATCGGTTCATCGCATCGGAAACAAAAAAGCGAAAGAATTTGAAACGCTGATCACGATGTTTTAATTCAGTCAATGTGTCAGTCGGTAACGCGTGAGTGAATAGTGGTGTTTGCTGCGTGGCTCAAACGAAATAAAAAATGGCACATGTTTATGCGGATCGGTTTCCCAATCGAGTGCAATCAACCCCTTGTGCCTTTGTTAATGTAGTACAACGGGCTCGTGAATGAGGTGACTTAAGACCTCACAGGGGAGGGCATGCCGGTGCTCCAAGACCTCACGATCAAATACAGGTCCGCACTGAAATACTTGTCGGGAGGATACCTTATGAAACAAGGTAACATTTTTTTTAATTTTTTTTTATTTTTACACACATATTTTGGTTTATCTTCCTTCTACAATGATTATCTGAAAATTAATGACTCAACTTCAAAGTCACCCTATATAGCAATATAGTAATTGTTTTCTATAGACAGTATGACGTGAGGTCTCAGCTAGTTACGAGGCCGTCAAAATTGTCAAATTGTCCAAATAACCACCCATAGAATCTGCTCTATGTTTTGGAAACTCTGTATCTGTACTCAACTTTCAGGAGACTTCAATGGTGGGTAAGGACGGAAACCCCAGCTAAAACAAATCTTTGATAAATTAGTAGATAATTACTTTACTAATATCATACCTACTGGTAATTCTCAAGCAAAAAATGTACTTCTTCCAGCCCTAGAGCTTCAGAATAATGGAGAATTTATACTGTTTCAGATTTGGACGAATGTTCCTCCCCAGAACTTCACGACTGCCACTCTCTAGCCAAGTGTATCAACGTCTTCGGCGGCTTCAAATGCGAATGCGGAGAAGGGTACAGGGATCCATGGGCAGACAACAAGCACAGAGCTGGAAAGCAATGTGAGCAATGTTCACCTGCACATTGCAATAACAGAGGAGAGTGCAAATATCAGAACGGACAGGAAGTCTGCATGTAAGTTTCTCTTTCATTTAGCTTAAAATACAACAATTAGTTCCATTTTACTGACATGGTTACAATGCCTCAAAAGATTTTATCTTCAAAGGTTTTCCTTTGGTATTGTTGTTAAGTTTTCTCGTGAATAGATCAATCTCGATCTTCCACCGTGACTCACTGGTCTTCTTGTTAACTAGGAGATGAAGTGACTCTGAGTCAGTGTTTTTTTTTATTTTGCATGTGACATTTTCGATACCAATATAGATAATTCTTATGAATATTTTATGGAGCATTCATTATATTCCATAGAAATTATTTTAACCCTTTAATAATTGCTATGCATCACATTCTGCTTTTTTCATAATGATCTTTCAATCAATTTTGCCATCAAAGTCCATGTCAAGATACTTATAAACATGTCGCAATTTTGATCAGATTTTTTTGGGTTAAAACAGAAATCGCTTTTTTAGATGCACTGGAAGTTACTATGGATCCCAATGCGAAGTAGATGGTGAAGTATTGGGAGTAGCAATAGGAGCCAGTGTTGCTGCAATCATCATTATTGGTCTCACTCTAGTCTGCTTGGTGATGTGGAGGTTTGTTTTTGACATACTAAGACAAAATTGACATCTTATAGTAGTTTTTTATCTGCAAACTTAGAGCCCGTTGATTGAACAATTTTTAGTATTTTTTTTTGTTCATTTCAGTCGACGCTGGAGTAGAGAACACAAAGCAGCAGTCGGCAGCCCGGTATTTGGCTACATGGCAACGGCTAGCAATACTGTAAAAACTCCTGTTGTTGGTGCACCTCCATATCAACTGACTTTGGAGGACAGACTGAGATGGGCACAAATTGCTGATGTCATGGCACAAGCCAATCATTATGCTGTAAGTATAGTTACCGCTTGTTAGCTTTGCAACAGTTGGATTCGAATTTTGGTGAGGAATTTGGTAAGGGAAGTCGGACTTGTACAGCTATGGCTAACAATTTTGAACTGAAATTGCGATTGACTTGACAGAGGTGACTGTTAAACAATATTATCCTGTTTCTCATGCATTAACAATCGTAATTCGTTATCATATGATAATATGGCCCTGACGTACGAGTCTATTCCACATTTTTATTACATTTGTGTAAACAATTATTTGTCCTTATCATTTTGTCCGTTCAAACAAGCTTTGCTTTACTAGGAAACTTAGTTTTCTTTTTCAATAAAGCAGAGCTTGCTTGAAAATAAAAAACACAAACGTGGAATATTCTCCCACAATTTCATAGTTGTACAATTATTATTAAAAAATGCATATAAAATACAAGTTTGACAAAAAGTAACAACAACAGTAAGACAAAACGTATTGAGAATACTTATTCAAACAGACAGTGCAAAATACTCGTAGGTATGTGGGAAATTGTTCGAAAATAGCGTTATTGACTTGTTCCAGCCTGAACCTGGACTGACAGCACCAACTCGCCCATCGTCAGCATTATTTGGGTACCCTAGTCTCCAAATGACGGGTACTCTACAACATCATGGTACTCTACCGCCAGTGCCCCTTCCAAGACTGAATATACAAGCACAGCTGGCAAATAGGTATGATAACTATCACTACCAGTTTACTCGTTGAACCATGAGCTCCTGACCCAAAACTTCGCTCAGTTCTTGCACTGAATAAGATATCCCATCACAAGATACCTAACTAACTTGAAAGCCGTGCCTGAGAATCCGAAATCTTGGTTATAATTACAAGAACGATCTCCTATTGGAAAGTTCGTGTAATTTTTTTCAAAATCGGAGTATGCTATATGCTATATAGCATGTGGTCGGGCATTTTCTTGAAAAATATTGCAATCAATGGTTCTTGTCAAAATTTTTACATCAGAATGTCTAACAGAATAACCAATCTTAATATTGTGGTATTCGGGAACTCCTGATGTAAAAGAAAATATTAAGGGCAACCTTTTGTGGCATATAAGTTGTTGTTGTTGTTGAAGATTTATTTAACATTAATGCTACAATGTCAATTATTTATAATGATTCGGTTACATATTTTTCTTCAATCCATTTTCTGTAATTTCACCTTCCTGTTTATTAAAATTAAAATAACGTCACTATGTATTTTGATTACTCATAAAGTGATTTTTTAATTTCACCTTAAACATTTTTAAACTCGAACTCTGTTTAATATCATTATTCAATTTATTAAATTCTAATACCCCCTCTTGAAATATAGATTTACTAGTTATCCTACTATTACAATTTTGCAGATGAAAATTCATACTGCCTCTAGCTTCGTAGTTATGATAATGACTATTTAATTTTGTGAAGTTTTCTAAATGTGGTGGTAATAAACGATTTTTTAATTTGAATATGAAAACAAGAACTAAATAATATATGAAATTTTTCGCATCCAACCACTGCAATTTTTCTAACATAGACTTAATCCTAGCATATTTGGTTTTATTTAAAATGATTCTCATAGCTCTATTTTGTAGAATTTGTAATTTTGAAAATATGTTTTAATTTTTTCTGTAAAACAGATTGTTGAACAATATAAAAAATGGGGGAGAATTATAGTGTTATACACAATTTTTTTGGAATACATACTAAGATTATAGGAAACTCTATAGAAGTAATTTATTTTTTTTTTCGATATTTTTGAAATAATGTATTATAAATAATAGTCAAATCAAATATTTTCTGTCGATCAAAAGTTTCCGAAATAAGTTTTTACCGGTGATAATATTCTCTATTTTGATTACAGGGCGGCCAGTATCCATGGAATGAAACCACTAGACAACTCCAGTTCCAGCGAGGAGGAAGACAAAGTTGATCTCTTAGGAAGAAGCTTCCAAGTTCCGAGACCGAAAAGCAGGAGCAATGCTTCAATTGCAGTAAGTAACTATTAGGTTGGTAGTACTTGATGCTTGTCATATTTGTCACCAAAATCTGTTGTTCTTCGAAAATTCCATTCTCCAACACGACATGCTTCGATATTTTCCAATATTTCAGAGCTGTCAAACATTACATATCTTCTGAAAGACCAAACGGCTGCGTACCTGATAAGTTGGGTATTTACTGTTACCAGGTTAAATAAAAATAAGACTAACTTAACTCAAACCCTGTTGACTGATTTTTATATATACATACTTTGCAAGGCATCATAACAAAGTAGGATTCAGTACTTCCAGGCACTCTTTAAATCAGGTGTATCGCCACAAATTGACCTTCCTCTAACTTTCTTCCTTTAGGAAATAATGTTCTATACAAAATTTATAAGGTATAATATACAACGTTTAACGTAATGTCTTTTTTGTATACAGAGTATCAGTGCTATCCAATGAAGTGTCCTGCTTAAAAAATAAAACATTATTCGATAGAAGTTTTCCCCTCTGTATACAAAAAAAAATTAGAATGCTAAAGCTTACATCAAATTTTCTTATGGCCACCGGTAAATATCTGGTCGTGCTAAATGTTAGTTTGGAATAATATTTTGCAAAATATATGTATATTGAAATTAGAATTTGAGCTTAATTAGTATTATTCTCACTTAAACTTTCTTACCTGGTACCAATAAATCGGCCCTATACCCAACTTAGTAGGCATGTAGGCATTGAAAGTATACACACAAGTTCAAAATAAATGCAACAAGCAAAATTTTGGTCAAATAAATTTTTTACTTTTATCTCGGTTTTATTGATTTTTTCGGGATGTGCATTAATGTGTAGATATGAGTTCTTGATTGTAGCCGCTTGACTTATTGTACAGGGTAAATCACAATGATACTTCATTACGCTAATTTTGAGTCACTCTGTTGTTTGAATCCAGGTGCCCATGAGACTGCTATGCTTCCCTTGATCAAGAACCACATTTGACCATAATTTTGCTTGTTAAGTTTATTTTGAACCTGAGTGTATACAGGGTGTTTCTAATGATATGAGAATATTTAGGAGTGTGAATCTACATGAAAAATTAATGTTAGTTTACTTTATAAGCTATAGTATGGTCCAAAAATGTTCCTTATAAAAACTCGGGGTGTTGAAGTTTTACGAAAAAAAAGTGGAAACTAATTAATATTTTCAGAACTGCTTCAGATATTTCACTGATATTTAGTACGTAGTGAAAGTTAATAAAGTTGCATATTTTTCAATGCAAAAATAATTTTTAGCTTTAACAGTGGCGTGCGTACGGGAATTGACTTCGATATTTTTTAAGAAAAAAATGGTACGCCAATGTTATTTGCCAAATACATTTTTTTTTTGGAATTCCCCGTTCAATTTGGAACAAATCATCTATCGTCAATTTTTTTCCTTCAATGCGCCATTTTTGAGTAAAAAAATAAAAACCGTTCTATTGTCCGAGAAAATTAATGTAATATTTGAAGAATTCAATTTAGCAATAAATATCTAGTTGCTCTGGAATATGTCACTGGCTTTTGACATCTGACAAGTCTCTATTATTCAAATCTGTTCGCTGTGACATCTTTGTCATTATTTAGTTTTGACAATCTTGTTAATAATGGTGAATTATTCAAATGCAGAAATGGCGGAAATTCATTACGTATATGGCCTTGCCGACCGTAATGGTGGGCAAGCCAGACGGATTTATCAGCAGAGATATTTCGATCGAACCTTTTCTAATATTCATCGTCGTCTTGTTGAAACTGGTTCTGTCCGAAAAGGCACATCTGAAGGTAGACCTCTAAGTGTAAGAACACCTGAAATGGAGGAAGCAGTGTTGCACGAAGTCGAAGACCGTCCTGAAAAGAGTTCAAGGAAGGTCGCTAGACACTTAAATATTTGCCATCAAATTGTTTGGAGAATTTAAATGGATTATTTGTTATGAACCCTTCCCATATTTTAAGAGTTCAGGCATTATTTCCCATTGATTTTCCAAGGCGTGTGACCTTTTGTCAGTGGTATCTTCAGAAAATTACACAAAATCCGCAATTTGAATCAAAGATTCTGTTCACGGACGAAGCTAATTTTTCTCGAAATGCCATTCAGAATTTCCACAATAATCATTTGTGGGCAGAAGAAAATCCCTATGTCGTAACCGAAACCCATTTCCAACACCAATTTTCGGTTAACGTATGGGCAGGAATTATTGGCAACCACTTTATTGGCCCTTTCTTCTTGCCGGGACGACTTGACGGACAGACTTACCTCACTTTTCTTCAACAGCAGTTGCCTTTGCTGCTTGATGATGTTCCGTTAGTAATAAGAAACAATATGTGGTACATGCATGAAGGTGCACCAGTGCATTTCAGTCTAGCGGTTCGTAATTATTTACAAACTGTTTATCCAAATCGTTGGATTGGACGCGGTGGGCCCCAAGAATGGCCACCAAGGTCCCCAGACCTCAACAGTTTAGATTTCTTTTTGTGGGGCTATCTTAAAACACTAGTGTACACAAGTTCCATTAACACTGTAGAGGAATTAAGAGAAAGAATAGTTGCAGCTTGTGATAGAATAAAAAACACTCCAGGGATATTTCACTGACTGCGCAATTCCATGAGAAGGAGGGCGGAAGCATGCATACTAAGTGAAGGGGGTCATGTTCAACAATTTTTGTAATCATTTCGTTGGTTTTGATGTTATGTTTATGTTGTCAGTTATTGTTGTTCATTACCCCCAATGTGTTTAATGTTTCCAATTAAATTAAGAATAATTTTGCAAGTTAGACAATAGAACGGTTTTTATTTTTTTACTCAAAAATGGTTCATCAAAGGAAAACAATTCAAGATAGATCATTTTTTTTAAATTAAACGGGAAATTCAAAAATAATTTATTAGGCAAAAAACCATTGGCTTATTATTTTTCTCCTAAAAAATATCGAAGTCAATGGCCAACGCACGCCACTGTTAAAGCTAAATATTATTTTTGCATTGAAAAATATGCAACTTTATTAACTTTCATTACATACTACATATCAGTGAAATATCTGAACCGGCTCTGAAAATAATAATTAATTTCCATTTTTTTTCCTAAAACTTCAACACCTCGAGTTTTTGTTAGGAAACGTTTTTGGACCATAGTTTATAAAGCAAACTAACATTAATTAAACACTATTAAATATTAATCATTAAATAACACCCTGTATAAGCGCTATTCAGAAAAAGCGTAACGTGTGGCATCTCATTACTTGGTGATCTCTTCATCCAGCTTTTAAATTCTTCACATTTTTGTTACTTTTTCAGAACCAAAGCGGCATCTACTACGACGTGGACTACGATCAAAACGAAATTTACAAGCAACCAGGAGGCATACCCTTGAGCACGTACAGTATGGGACGACAGCAGTATTTTAGAAACTGATTCTCGAATGATTCGTTGTACATATAATTGTAAAAAGTTATGCTACTTGGTTGCCCTGTTGCTCCTTTTGCATCGTGCCTGTGATGTTACGTCAATCCTACGTCTTCATGATCGATATAAGAATAACAAAATAAGTAGAAGGAATGACCCATATTGTGAGACAGCAATTCACATGAACAGTGGAAGAAAAATACATACTCGTTAAAATAATAGTATTTGGTTAGAATTAGTCGTTTATAGTTATTAAGAGCATTTTTGTATGTATCATTGCATCATAAAAGGTACATCCTACATATGTTCTGGAAGTTATCTAATAAAAAATAGGATACACGGCTACGTCTGATTCTTTGCTCAGCAGTTTGCTATATTCGGATACAGATAGTTGCACACTATGAACATTTTAATAACTACTTGGTCACCAAGTCTTTCGGCAAGGGTTATTTTAAAGCTATATACCACATGTATCTAAGAGTGTCCCCAAAGTAAATGTCATAGAAGTACTTGATTGATTCATCAAATTAAGGCTTGAAAAGTGCCTACATGAATTCGGTTTTTGAAGAACTTGTACGACGTACTATGACTGTTGCAATGATTTTTTGTTTCACGGTTAAGACTTTGTTAATTTATTATTATAATTATTCTTGTAAATAAAACACTCTGTTTGGTGTTCTTGCATTTTCTTTCTTTGCCCTTCTTATTACCCATTATAGTGCGTAGGCCTCGCATGGTGATCATTTGAAAAACTTTTCTTCGAAAAAAGTACTCGTACAACAAAAAGGTGGTGAAACGGCAGCATAAGAGTAAAAAAATGATGAAAAATGCTGTCTATTTCATAAGAAAGGTCCACGCATCATTCTTATGGGAAAGGTGCTTCAGTGCTTAAGGTTATATTCTTCAAATGATGCTGATCGAATATTTTCCTTGCACCAGCTCAATTTAAAGCTATACAAAGCATCCAGAAGGCATAGAAGTTGGGTGTTTATGCATTATGCCGCGAGTTCTTTTCTAGCTAAGCTCATATCGTATGGTTTGGATGAGTAAATTACAACACAAATGGCTCAAAGGAATTGTTATTCCAAGTCCTACCCAACTTCAATCAATCAATAACATCTTTGAGGTCCATGTCCCTAAATGTAAAAATAAAATGTTTTCGTATCCCCCATGGTTTACACGTGAAATTATACTTAATATCAAGAAGAAGGACATAGTAAGAAGGAACTGGAAACGTGACGGTACTAAGTTTTCTTATGATCAGTTCAGTAATTTTAGGAAGCTCATTAAGAACCAGATCCGTGTTGCCTACTCCGCTTACGTCCAATCGGTTGAGGATGCCATTGTCAATGATCCTAGCAAATTCTGGTCATTTGCCCAGATCAAAAAACAGCAATCTAGAATCCCCCTAAGGATGACGCTTAACGGCAATGTCTGCGATACGCCTCAGGGTATAGTGGACAGTTTTGCTACCTTCTTTTCAACAGTTTTTACCCCGTCTGGTTTACTAGGGTCATCTCCTCCAACAAATAATTCTACCGATATCATTTCATTAAAAAATATAAGTGAAGAAAACGTAATTAGGGCTTCGAAAAGATTAAAGAACAAAATGACGTCTGGATGTCCAAGTTTTTTCGTTAAAGATTGCATTCATATACTAGCGAAACCGCTAGCTTCCATATTCAACCTAATTCTAAAATCAGAGACATATCCAAATATCTGGAAGACGTCTAAAATATGTCCTATTCACTAAAGTGGAGATATCTCTGATATTTCCAACTATCGCCAAATAGCAATCCCGTGCAATTTCAGCAAGTTGTTTGAGATCATCGCTTATGAAACGGTTTACTGCTCGGTCAGGGGTGCAGTCTCTATTAATCAGCATGGGTTTATGAGAGGCAGATCTACGGTCATCAACTTGGCTCTAATTACTCAGTACATTTCTGAAGTATTGGACGGTCAGGAACAAGTTGATGTCATCTACACAGATATTCAGAAGGCGTTTGATCAAGTTGGTCATTATGCACTTCTGGATAAGCTTAAAACAGTGGGTATGTCTGATGCAATGCTGTCGCTCATGAATTCATATTTGAGGGATAGAAGGTTATTTGTCGAATATGGTGGTCATAGGTCGAGTTACTATCGGGCCACGTCTGGGCTACCTCAAGGGTCAAATCTAGGTCCATTATTGTTTTTAGTAATTATCAACGACTTGTCTTTTGAACTGAAGTGTTTCCATTTGTTTTTCGCTGATGACCTTAAAATCTGCACGTCAGTCAAGACAGTCGAGGATTGCGTCATGTTGCAAGATGACTTAGCTCTAATTTCGTCATGGTGTTCACGAAACTGTCTCAGTCTGAATGTTTCGAAGTGTAAAGTTATGACTTATACAAGAAAAGTTAACTATTTAATTTATGATAATTATAACATCAATGGTCAGGTTATAGACAGATGCACCTCTTATAGAGACCTTGGAGTCATTTTTGATACCAAGCTAACGTTTACTGAGCATATACTCAATACCTCGTCGGCTGCCACTCGACTACTTGGTTTCTGTATCAGAAACTGGAAGGGTTTCTCCAATGTTGATACATTAATGACTTTATTTTTTACTTTTGTCAGGAGCAAGTTGGAGTATGCGACTCTGATCTGGTCTCCTATATACCTAAAATTCTTTCGTGATCCTTGAGGCCATTCAACGTAAAGCTTTAAAGTATTTTCACCTTAAATGCACAGGTGCTTATCCAGAAAGAGGTTGTGACCATGGTGCCCTATTAGAGTTTTTCAATTTGGATTCACTGTCAACAAGACGAAACATATTTGCTTTGTCGTTTTTGTATGGCCCCATTCACAATAAAATTGACTGTCAAAATTTACTTGAAAAAATTTGTTTCCGCGTTCCAAGGCTAGGGAGTCGACAACAAACGACATTCTATTGTCAAGCTGGCCGTACAAATGTTATGTCAAAATCGCCAATTAATCTCATGTGCTGCGTCATGAACAGTGTTACTGAATCGTGTGATATTTACAGTGACAGTTGTGCATCGATGCTAGGAGAATATGTGATCCGCCTTCAGTACAAGTTTTAACCCGCTCGAGTCATTTGGTAGCGATTTTTTTGTATTGTGTTCTCAATAAGAGTGACATCAATTTCGAGCAACGGTGTTCTATCAGGTTTTGTTTCTGACTTAAGCAGTATGCAACGGAAACTGTTGCTAAACTTCAGCAGATCCACGGAGAGAGTGTGTTGTCAAGAGCCCAGGTTTTTTGGTGGATCAAGGAGTTTTGAGAAGGAAGAGAGTGAATACGAACCACGGACCGGAAGGCTTTCATCTTTGAGAATCGAGAAAAATATCGCTTAATCCGGGATCTTATGCGTTCACATCGTCGATAATGATCGGGAAAGAGTTAAATTTGACCCCCACCACCGTTCAACAGATCAAGAACAACTTGGTATTACATCACAATAATGCTCCTTGTCACATAGCAATGTCAATAAACAAGTTTTTGGCCAGTAAAAGAATTCCTGTGGTTCCTCAGCCTCCTGATTCACCTGACCAAGTCCTTGTGACTTTTTTCTCTTCCCGAAGTTGAAAAATCACGTCAAGGGAACTCATTTTGGGGCAGCCGAAAACATTCAAATGGCTGTAACCATCCAGCTGAAGGCTAATCCGTATCGGAGATCCAGCATTGCTATGAGGAATGGAAGAACCATATCCAGCGCTGTGAGGCTTCAGAATCTAGTTATTTTGAGGGTGACAATACAAAGTGGTAATTATGTTTGTCTAAAAAAACCGGTCTTACCTTACAGACCTCGTATACAGGGTGTAAACGTTATGATAGTCATTATTTAAATGGGTGATAGAGGGGCTTAAGAGAAGCAAAAACGACTTTAAAGTAAAATAAAATCTGACAACGCCACACTGCCAGACGCAAATTACGACGGAACGCAGTGTAAATAAAGATGGAGGTATTATTTCATTATTTGATAATGTACTCGTAAAATGCAAACAATTAAAAAAACGGACTTACCACTAACTGTCTCAGCGCTTCACCTGGTGTGCGAAAGTTTATTGAACGTATTAAAAAATCCACTTATAAATAAGGAACACAATTTTGATACATACATTGTTTTTGGTCCTCGAAGTTGTCCATTTATTATTTCAGCAGCATTAACATTTTTTTCGCGAAGTTGTGCTCCAGTTGTTATTGGACCAGCCCCATAAACCATCCCTTTAAGTTCTGCCTAACACCAGTAAATCCATCGGATTGAGGTCAGGAGACCTTGCTGGCCATTTTCGAGGATCAACAGCATTTCGACCGATCCAGCGATTTGGATAATGTTCATTCAAATACTGAATGACGCCTCTAAAAATATGTGGTGGTACCCCGTCATGAAGAAACCACAAATTCTGTCTCCGTTGTAATGGCATGTAGTATAAGGTCTGTTCCAAGGGTTCTGGTAGGTTATTGGGTAGAAAGCTAAGGTATTCTTCTACTGACAACTTTGGGAGTTACTCGAAAGGACCAACTACCTGATCGTCAAGAATACCCGCCCAAATATGAATTTTAAAACGTTGTTGGAAATGACCTTCACAAATGGTATGAGGGTTTTTTTGGGCCCACATGTGAGTATTATGGATATTTAATATCCCGTCTCGCGTAAAAATACATTCGTCCGTCGCTAGAATGTTTTTAAAAAAATCCGGTTTTTCAATATTTTTGTACAAAAACCACTGACAGAATTTTGGTCTGCGAGAATAGTATTCTGGTAACAAGGCCTGCACTCGTTGTACATGGTAAGGATAAAACAAATTTTCACGTAGGATTCTATGGACTACGATATTTGAAATTTGTTCCTCCTGCTCTACAGTAACCTGTCTTTCACGAGTGCGAATATTAGTGGGCTGAAAACTTCCTGTATCTCGAAGTCTTTGCACAAATGTCCTTCTGTCTGGGTGTACCCGTTGGCGAAATCTGTCGCGATAAATTTGAACTGCAAGACTGGAATTCTGACGAGCTTCACCGTAAACTAACAACATGTCGGTCAACTTTTGATTCGAGAACATTGTAAATAAACACGACGACGTACGCGAACAATAACTAACCACTGTTACCGTTTGCGGTCAATTGCCGGTTCGATAAGAGTAATGGATGACCGACGCGCTGGTCATGTGTGTTTTAAATATTTAATTTAATGAAACTTACTTACTTACTGACTACAAATGTTTTCTTAACTTAGAAAAACTTAATGCCATTTATTTGTTGATTACCCAATTTAAAAACGTTTTAGATTAGATTATAAAAATTAGTAAGATTGTGGTGATTATGGTAGATAAAGCACTTAAAGTTGTAAATTATAAAGCCATTTAGACAAAAATCTATTGACTTTTGGACCATGGGTCATATGAACTTTTTGACTTGTTTTGACCTCCCTATTACCTATTTCAATAATGACTAACATAACGTTTACACCCTGTATACTAAAAACAATACAAACACCTAGGTAAAGAATAATGTCATTTCAAATTGTATCCTGTTAGTTTCATTGTGTCTATTTGACAACTGAACCTTATGTTTTGAAATATTTTAGAACGACCGATAATTAAGTAATTGTGAGAATAGCTGCCCATGTTGGTCTGTATTAATACCCCAATATTCGACGTAAGGCTTGGAAGCGGCTTTTAATGTTAACAAAAAAAAAACACTCTTGTTCCTTACTTATCTTGGATAGACAAATTCAACCCAAATCGACTGCCTTCATTCATTAATTTGAGTTCGTTAGTTCGACAACCGGTAGCTAGACACTTTAAAGTATTATGGAAACGTCGTGGTCGTGAGGGAAAAATGGAATAGTTTGGTGATATAGAGCACTGATAGTGAAACGAGTACTTTACATATCTCATTTGAGGAGATCATTATTGATCTTACATATTAGAGTGTCCGTCCAATAATGACCTACTTCTGAAACTAGGTATGTAATCTACTGTTATATTTATCTGTCTCGCAGGTGATAATCATTTATTCTTTCTCCCACTATACAGTGTGTTGCAACAACCTGAACGGTCCTGTACCATGCCAAGATGGCGGAAAGCCATCATTACAATTTTAAGTAGACATTGAGCAAAACCAAGGCCCAGGGCCGCGTTGAGTTAAGGCCACATCGTCTGTCGTTCCTACAATTGTAGAATTTTTATAGTCCTGTCTTTCAGAAAGGCTATAATTATAGGGCTGTGTCAGCGTCCTATTTTGAGGTTATGTTACAAATAACTATTTGCGTCAAATTGTGCATGCTTTTGATTTATAGCATCTGTCTTATCAGCCTTTAATATCCTACAATTCAAAAGGAAAGCATAACCTCACAATAGGAGAGCGCTGACGCTGATAGTGAATGTGGAAATCTAGCCTTCCGGAAGTAGAGAAAAGACTATGAAAACCAAGGAGGCCATAAAATCATTCTACAATTATAGGCACGACTGACGATACGGCATTCCTGCTGTGATGCGAGAAAAGGACTCGCTCAAAGCTCCTTAAGATTGACACATGGTATCTTGTGATTAAAGCACAACCATATACATATATGCTCGTTTATTTATGACACATTAATATAAAATAAATAACAGTATAATTTAATAAATATTTACAATAATATAACAGCGTCTCAAATCATCCTGCCTTAATATCCCTTCTTTTCGAATCCGTACTTTTTGAACCCGTCTTTTTTGCCTTCATCGCCATAGCTTGCTCCCTTATCGTAGAAGGATTCCCTGCCACCGCCCTTTTTGTAGCCCTTGTCTGCGTGGTGATGTCCACCTTTCTCTTGTTTCTTGGATTTTCCGTAGCCTGCCTTTTGGAAGCCCTGAAAACACAAAATTATGGTTAATATACATACCAAAGCAAATCCTAATAGAAGAAATATTCAATAATGCACAAACTGAGGATGTGATAAAAGTTTTTCAAGAAAGTGATCCTGAAGTGTCCTTCTAGCGTTTCATTTAAAGACTAAATCTTAGAGACTACAAAATTCCATGGTATAAACGCTTGAAACTGCAAGATGTTTTGGCCCTCATGGATATTGCTAGTAAAATGATGGCTAAAAAGTCAACAACAAAACATTCAGGAAACAGCATGCTTCTTACTTGGAATTTTTTTTATTTCTACAGGGTGACCCAAACATACATTTTTTAAATGGAAAGAACCTACATTTTATTGCAAATTCAGATAAGCGCTTACAATCCAAACATTTTGATATGACATACTATAAATTGTTGAAATATTCGTCAATCTATCGAAAAAAAGAAGCACTCAACGTTTTCGCTAGATAAATTTCATTTCTTCCTATTCACTAACCTTTTTGGTTCTCTTGATACTTTATACAGGATGATCAGGAATCAGATGGAATACCCTGCATATTTTCACACTCTTATATTTCCCTTTTCATAAGGTTCTTTGATATAAGGCTTGAGGAGAATTGTTTTTTTTTGTAACAGTACAATAGTAATTAGTTTCTAACAGCAAATCGTCAGAATTGACGAAAATAGAGCATGTTTATTACTTATGCAATAAGGACAAGAATAAGTTTTTTTTAACCTTTCGTACAAATCCATTGTATCAGAAAAAAGGTTGTGAAAAGGGAAATCTAAGAGTGTGAAAATATACCTTTGAAAATTTGGAGAAATTTAATTTCGCTTTTTTGTCCACCCTGTATAAGCTATTCAAAAAAACTGGAAATATAAGTGGATAGGGAAAAAACTTGGGATCACAAAATATCTGAAACGAAAAAGCTCCAACTAAAGCAGTTACGGAGGTGCCAGTTTTTTCGATAGATTGTCCAAAATTCCAACAATTTGAAACCAGGCATATCAAATTACTCCATTTGAAAAGGCCCATCCTGATTTGCAATAAGAATATAGAGGCAAACATATTTTCCAATTCAGGCTACAATTTGTTTGTATTTATTTTTTTAGACACCATGCGGAGTTATCGAAAGAGTCCACATTAGAAATTCACCCTATACAGGGTGACTTCGAAGTTGAGTCATTTATTTTAACAGTGAGTAGATCTGATCAAAATAAATGTTTTTTTCCTTTAACATTTTTTGGTAAAATTAAAGTAACAAAGTTATAGCCCTTTAGAAGTTTGAGTACCGCCCTGTCTCAATAATAATATTATGTGCTCGTGTTTGGCAACAACGGATATAATCGGAAACAAAAAAGCGAAAGAATTTGAAACGCTTATCACGATGTTTTTATTTATTTTATTCAGTTGTATTCATTCAATGTGTCAGTCGGTAACGCGTGAGTGAATAGTGGTATTTGTTGCGTGGCTCAAACGAAATAAAAAATGGCACATGTTTACGAAAATGCTGAACTTGTGGACATGATTCTTATTTACGGGGGGGAGTCTTTACAAAATGCTCCCACGGCAACACGGATTTATGCGGATCGGTTTCCCAATCGAGTGCAACCAACCCCTAGTGCCTTTATTAATGTAGTACAAAGGGCTCGTGAATCAGGTGACTTAAGTCCTCACACGGGAGGGTATGCCGGTGCTCCAAGACCGCACGATCAAACACAGGTCCGCACTGAAATACTTGTCGGGAGGATATTTTATAAAACAAGGTAACATTTTTTTAATTTTTTTTTTAATTTGTACACACATATTTTGGTTTATCTTCCTTCTACAATCATTATCTGAAAATTAATGACTCAACTTCAAAGTATAGGGTCTATAGGGGCTTCGCATCGCAGTGAGCCACCTTGATCTTTGTAACAAGGCATGTCTTCTTATCTTACGCGGATTGAAATACAAGAGGGAAAACTTTCTGCCATTCTCTTACATACCCCAGCTTTCTTCGATGCCTTGGCCTTTGCACCCTCCTTATACCCCTTCTCATGCTCATATTCTCCATGGTTCTCCTTGAATGCCTGGTCGTGGTCTTCATCGAAGAAATCAGTCCTCTTCTTGAACTCATTCAACTTTCTCACGTTGTGCTCACCCTTAGTGTCATGCCCTTTAGCGTAGCTGCCATGATCCTTGAAGCTGAAGCCTTTTTCTCCTTTTTCGCCAGCGTGCTTCTCTACATAGTAGCCTTCGTCGGCGTGATGGCTCTTCTTAGATCCCCCTAAACAGGAATATATTATGGGCTTCTATTGGAAAAAATCTCAAGTCACTTTGGTGGAGTACCAGCAGAGCAGAAGTAGTGAGATTGAGTAGAAAAAACTGCGGATTCTTGATGAATCTCGAATGCAGAAACGAGTTTAGAAGTGTTTTGAAGCAGAAGAAACAGCAAAGCATAGTACTTTCGATCGGCTGGCCCTTTCTGAACGACTACGTTACTGGATAAGCCATGATGGAAGATACGGGCATAATCAAAATGAAATAAAACTTGTCATTGAAAAAAATAGATTGTGACTACTTCGCAGTGTACACACAGAATACAAAATAGATTTGAGGATGTTTGATCTGTTGTCATGAAATACGTGATTTGTTTTTTTTAAGTGGATCTCAATGTGTAAGTCATTGTCATGGGTAAGCAACAGGAAATATTGTATACGTAAAGTTATAAGATCATTAGTCTTACAGTTTTTCTTCAGATAGTCAAAAAAATTAGCTACTTTGTTATTTTAAGTATGAGAGTCATTAAGTTTGTTACATCGTGAAACATTCATATCTACCCCACTCAGAGCACTACGAAACTTTACTGAAGCAGCCGTTATTTCAGTTGCAAAAGTAAACTCGTAGATAAAACGATACATAAAATATCATTCTTTATGAGCAACCTTCCTCAATTGTCGTTGCAATTAAGTTATTTTACCAGGCATCTTAAAAGAATTATAACGGTTAGCACATCCGCACCACTCCCAAATGTGAAAGAATTTAGACTCGCGATTCCATGAAATTTACATAATTTTATGTTATGAATAGGTTCATTATACTATTTACACATAAGCGAAAAAAACAGTGTTGCCACAAATGTATTCGTATGCAAGTTAACTCGTAAATCTTATGGTATCTCGTTTCGCTAGTCTGCTGTCGTGTTTCGTCTATATTGTGAATCTACTTACCCTCTTCATTATACTTCTTCTGATGCCTCGCCTTATCATGATGTCCTTTCTCTCCTTTCTCAGCGACTTTTTTCTTTTCATACCCCTTATCGCCTTTCTCACTCTGTTCCGAATGATGTTCTTCATTAAACTCCTTTCCACCACCCTTTTTGTACTCTTCCTTGTGCTTTTCGTGATCTCCGCTTATCTTATAGGATACCACGATGTTTATGGCGACCAGCAAAAAGAAAAGGTGAACCAGCTTCCTCATTATAAGGTATTTCACTGGCAAAAGGGACTCTGCGTATCGTAGAAAGAAATATATAAATTATACAAGTAAACGTTTCAAAAAATAGTGGTAGTCCTGAGACCAATTAATCTAAGATTCGTTTAGAAGCGGCCTTCACGTCTTTAATGGAAAAACAGTATTTTTTATCATATTTAATATGTTAGAAAATATATCGCGAGTGTTGGCTTAAAACTTTCTGACGATACTACTATTAATTAAAATATGCAGGGCTGAAAATTTTTATCCTAACATATCTACTAGGTTTGCACCGATTTGATTAATAAATAAATCATGTATCAAAATAAGCAACTTTTCATTGCGAACCCGATAATATAGGATTGTTTGCAAAAAACCTGGTTGGAATGATGGTTGGAAGGTTTTTAAGGCTGGAATTTTGATACCAATAGAAACCTGCGACAAAGAGGTCCCCGTTCCCCGTTAGAAAATTCAGGGACTGAAACCAAATCTCGGAGGGTGTTGAATCGAAGAATCAAATTTGTACGCAACAAGATGCTATTTTTAAATATAAAATCAGTCCTCTGTGTTTTCCATGAATATGAACACAATTAGATATAATCTACGAGCCCCTTCCCACTTCAGTTGGCCCAACTATTGAAATCTTGGCTTTTTTCTTATCAAACACAAATAATAAAAATGTAGCAGGGTGTTATAGGTTTAAAATATTAACAATGAATATTTTGATAATATATAGTAGAAAACACCAACAAATCAATAAATATAATAATCAAATTTGCAGCATAAAAATAACACATGTTGCAATTACAGCATATCAAACTATTTTCATTTCAATGCAAAATAAGTCTATAACGCATAGTTGGCTGTGAAAAATAAAAGCGATGACAATTGTTTTTATTTATCAGTGATGGAAGAATGTTTGACATCCGGCCAAAATTTTGTGTTTCAGCAAGATGGTGCAGCATGCCATACCTCAAAAAAGGCTATAAAATGAATAGAAGAAAATAATTACCACGTTTGAACTGCGTTTCTAGCAGTCCAGATCTGTCACCTATTGAAACTTTGTGGCACGAGATGAAAAAGGTTCTACGACAACATCCTGCTCGTACAATCACCGAACTGAGACAAAAGCTTCAAGAAATATGGGATCGTTTTACACCAAATTTTTGCCAAAACTTGGTTAACACTATGCCCTAAAGAATTTCAGCCGTTTTAAAAAAAAAAGGTGATGTTACCCAATGGTAATCTTTCAATTGTTGCTTTGTTAACTTCGCGCATTTATTCGCACATTGTTTATTTGTTCAGATGTTCTATTAGTTATAGGTCTAAGTGATTTCCAATATGTATTTTTTACGACTAGAGTGTATCTAAAATGTTTTTGAGAAAATAAATTGTTTTAGAAGTAAATAGTTTCGTCATGTTTAGTTTATAAAGGCATATTTTGGTACAAATCTTGAAGTGGGCCAACTGACGTGGGAAGGGGCTCGTATGTGTTCGATACTTCAGAGTAGACGTTTTTGTTTGTTTCTTTGGGTTTCACATAGCCTTAAAAGACAATGCCCGTTTTTGAAGCTAATCATATATAAACAACTTATCATTGATGAAAATAATACAGATTTCGAAAAAATAATACTGCTAAAAAGAGTGACGCCAATGAATGTCCCAATACTACCGTACTTTTCATTGATTTCCATTTCTAAATAATCAATAATATACGGTGATAATCAACTTGAGGATTTAACGTTAATTGTACAACAACTTACAGCTAAAACTTCAATAAAGAAGCTTACCCGATTTCTGCGACTTGCCCGTTCACTGTATCTGAAAAGATGGCACTGAGTCACTGTTTTGAGTTCGTAGGGTCGGTACTTCGGTAAATCTTTGGATGCTGTAACGAATGCACTGATAATGGATTCTTTGCGTCTGATTATATATTTAAAGGTCGATTGTGGTATGAGGTGTGGAGGAATTAAGTGATTAAGCGGTTTAATGGTTGATTAGGCATGAAACCAGTGGCGTTGGAAAGCGTAGGAGTAATAAGTTTTTCATTTGAAGTTTTAAAAGAATACATTTTATCAAAAATTTGATGCATATAGTAATCGTCCTTCAGATTATTTAAATTAAAGATTAATTCATTCAAATTCCTGTTAGCCAGTCACGAGGCTTATCTAAGATGAGCCTTAAACCAACTTAGTACAGTTCTAGGCATTCTAAGAGGACCCAATGACTTGAAAAGACACCTGCGCAAAATAAGGCACTATGTTGCAGATAATCCGGAACAAAATCAACCATGCATGGTCTATGTGAGAGCCAGGCACTACATGACAACTCTCCAATAGTACCGGTAGGGGACCGGTACCACCTGGTACAGAACACGATACTACTATAAATATCAAAGAGCGAGGTACAATAAGCCTAAGAGGCGATCTCTATACTGAAGCTGCCTATAATTCTTGTACTGATAATGACAGATGAACTCCGAACTGGAAATGAGGTCTCCTGGTATTCACATTTTTCAACATCCTGACACCGTAAGAAGAAAAGAATTGTCCTTAGTAGTACTTTCAACTTCTAGAAGGTGAAGTCTATCGGTTGTGAACAAAACTCACGCAATTTTTTAGGGTAGCTTGTAATTATTTGGAGTAGACACCCTATTTCCACTGCTCAAAAGGCAACGTTTCGTTCCAGGAAATCAGATATTGTCAGTAGATTGCTTGGATGCCTTTTAGCTTTATTTAAATGAACGGAAATGCAAAGGTGATTTTCTTAGGTTTGTTTTCACAGAGGCTTCTTTGCTTTCCTACTGTTGAGATCCCCAGAGCTCAGCATGCAGAAATGTTGTTTGATAGCACCTCCGCTCTATAACTAATGTTATGCAGTGTTTTTAATAACAAATGTAGGATATCAAATAATCTTTTCTGTATTTTCTATGGTCCTCTTATATGCCTTAGCAGACTTTATCAGACATTTATAAATAATAATGCATGGAAGACAAAAACAAGAGTGAAAACACAGTCGTTTAAGACCCCAAAAGCAATATCCCATCATTGCACTTTGTTTATAACTTTATCAGAGGCAAAAGAATCTAAAGCTACTTTTCTATACGGTTCGCTACTTATCATATTTGTTGTTGAGGTATTAGGAAATGTGCACGGCTTTCAACAATCAACCCATCTCAGTCTCAGTAGGACATGCTGGCACGGATATGGCCAACTGAGTTTAACTGATCGTTAAAAATCGTGTGTGATACTATAAACTGTATATAAAAAAGAGGCTTTCATTTGGATTTAAATTTGAATTAAATTTTGAGTTACTTAGAAATTGCTTACCGTTTTCCTTTTTATCTCTCGTAATCAAGTTGTTATCTACTTCCGCTATAGCTGGAGGTTCTACAGATTTGAAAATGTCCAATTAATTTTACCATGATTCCAAATTTTCGCAATTGCCAAACGCCTACTTTGGGAGTAAATATGGTATTTTTCATACTATGAGTATATGCCTGAAAACAAGTAGCTTATTCAAATGAAAAATGGTTTTATCATCTATACGCTACTTAGACTTCACTTGCTCGACGTCGAAACAAACATAAGCAGTCGAACACTTGCTGCTGCTTAAAATACACTACGAGCCCCTTCCCACTTCAGTTGGCCCACCTCAAGATTTGTACCAAAATATGCCTTTATAAACTAAACAATTTATTTTCTCAGAAACATTTTAGATACACTCTAGTCGTAAAAAATACATATTTGAAATCACTTAGACCTATAACTAATAGAACATCTGAACAAATAAACAATGTGCGAATAAATGCGCGAAGTTAACAAAGCAACAATTGAAAGATTACCATTGGGTAACATCACCTTTATTTTTTATTACGGCTGAAATTCTTTGGGGCATAGTGTTAACCAAGTTTTGGCAAAAATTTGGTGTAAAAAAATCCCATATTTCTTGAAGCTTTTGTCTCAGTTCGGTGATTGTACGAGCAGGATGTTGTCGTAGAACCTTTTTCAACTCGTGCCAGAAAGTTTCAATAGGTGCACCATCTTGCTGAAACACAAAATCTTGGCCGGATTCTTCCATCACTGGTAAAAGCGATTCTTCTGAAATTGCCAAATAATTGTTTGTATCCACATTTCCATCAATAAAATAAAGTTTTCCTACTCCGTTTGATGACATTCTGCCCCAGACCATAATGGATGCTGGAAATTTCACCTTTCTCTTCAGACAGTCAACATGGAATGCTTCATTTTTTTTGCAAATAACTCTACTGCGACTGTCACCAACACAAACTTCGAATCTGGCCTCATCACTCCATTGTATTGCACACCATTGTTGAGGTGTCCATGGTCTATGTTCTTTAGCCCATCTAAGCCGATTTTTCTTTTACAGTGGAGTTAATAGTGGCTTTTCTTTGGCATATAAACAAGTTGTGCAACTTTAGGGTTTTTACTTCACTTTTTTTTATAAGAAAACTTACCTCGCTATGTCCCAGTTTGTGGGCCTCTCTATGAGTTATGGACCTCGAAATTCTCCTTCCAACAGCGTCACTCCATAGATCACTTAATTGTAAATAATTGGCACGCCTGTTTTTCACGATTATTCTTCTTAATGCTCTTCGGTCGGCATTTGTGATATTACTTTTTTCACATATCGTGGCTTAATATTAACTGAACCAGTTACGTTATACCTTCTAACAATATTTCTCACACTGTACCACGATAAGTCTAACAAAGTTGCAATTTCTGAGTTTGATTTCCCAGAATTAAAAAATTTAATTAACAGTAACCCAATTTTCTCACAAATAACCTTTCATCTGCCCATTTTGAAAACCTTAACTACCCAAAACTATTTTAAACGTATTCTGACAGCTGTGATTAATAAAAACAATTGTCATGGCTTTTATTTTTCACAGCCACCTATGCGTTATAGACTTATTTTGCATTGAAATGAAAATAGGTTGATATGCTGTAAATGCAACATGTGTTATTTTTATGCTGCAAATTTGATTAGGGAGCGATAAAGTTGGTGTTTTCTACTATCTATATATTATCAAAATATTCATTGTTAATATTTTAAACCTATAACACCCTGCTACATTTTTATTATTTGTGTTTGATAAGAAAAAACTAAGATTTGAATAGCTGGGACAACTGAAGTGGGAAGGGGCTCGTATAGGATTTTTTTCGCGAAAGGTTTCTTTGCTAACCCACTGTTGATATCTCCGGAAATGTTTGTAGGGAATATGCAGTATAATATTAACAAACCGCTATCTATCTAACTGAGAGCTAAATAATTTGCACCTATATATCTAAGTTTAGAGCTTTCAACAGTTCATACTTTATTAATCATGATAGCGTAGGTACCTCAAAGTAGACTTTTCTGCGATACTGAGATACCGGCAAGTTAAGAAGATCCTTATTATTCCACGTCATCTGCTGTTCCCCATCAGACGAGGAATTGCACAGCATTGAATTGTTCTATGCGGTCATCATCGCCCAAGGAGGAGTTTTTCCAAACGTCTCAGCTGTTCTTTTGCCTTGAAGACTGAAAAAAGTTCAATTATTTTCGCTAAAGGTTTCCGGTCTAGCCCACTGTTTATATCTCCGGGAGTTTGTGCAGAGACAGCCGTTGGGGCTGTAGCTCGTAATCTACCAATTTCAAAGTTGATGTAAGATCCGCCATTTTGATTCTATAAAATTTTAGTATAACCACTGTCCGGACAAATTTATAGACACGTAGTATATCAAAATGTATCAAGCTGTTCAAGATGTAGACCATAGAATAGATATTTCAAAGTTGTAATATTCTATTAAGATCCGCCATTTTGATTGTGTATAATTTCATTACATTCAGTGACACCAGGGATGCTAAGATGAATCTAGCAATGTCTCATCTATCGAAATAATGAAAAATTATTCTTGTCCGCATATACATGTATTCATACTCACGCGCGAAAGACATAACCCTCTTTCTGATGCAGTCGAGTAAAAAGATGACGGTTGTCTTTGACGGGAGGCTATTCTGTTTATTATAGTCAAAGCTGAATAAAGCGATTCCGTATTACATTTTTGCTTTATTTTTACGATTCTACCTATTGCACAGTATGAAGGCTGATAAACTCTAAACTGCGTACCTGCGAGAGTTCATATTTCTCTCACTAACTTTATCTTCTATATATACTAAGTGACATATAAATCCGAACACCCAGTTTAAATGGTTTTATTTTAATAAAATTTTGTATAAGTACTTAATGAAGCATAATAAGTAAATGATAAAAATTTCAAAATGATTGCACTGCTTTAAAGCCCTTTGGCCTTTAATAATGTGTGGATGCACCCTGATGTGCTACGCATTCTCCAACGCGCCTAGGCATGCTTCTGATCAGGTGGTCAATGTCCTCCTGTGGTATCTCATTCCAGGCAACCACCAACTCCTCTCGAAGTGCTTCTAGAGTCTGAGGAGGACGTTGCAAATTGAGCAATCTCCTACCCATCATATCCCACACGTGCTCAATTGGGGATAAGTCGGGAGATCTTGGTGGACATGGTAACAATGTGACATCATTATGTTGAAAGAAGTCTATTGTGACTCTTGCAGCATGTGGTCGGGCATTATCCTGTTGGAAAGTTGGATCTGCCAGGGTGTCAAGATAGGGTAAAAGATGGGGTTCTAGAACTTCGTGGATATAACGCTGCGCGTTCATGTTACCTCTGATGAAGATTAAAGGTGACCTGGAACCATAAGCTATAGCACCCCAAACCATAACTCCAACAGTGTGATGAACATGTCTTTCAACAAAAAACTGTGGATTCCTCCTTTCACCACGTCGCCTTCTAACCCTGGCACGACCATCGTGCATGCCTAAACAAAATCGAGACTCATCACCAAAGACAATACTATTCCATTCCTGATCCCAGAATGACCGTTGTCTGCACCACTCAAGGCGATTACGTCGGTGTTCTCGAGTTAAAGGGAGGACCCAGTGTGGCCGGTATGAAAACAAGCCAAAACATCTCATTCGTCGGTAAACACTTCGCATGCCAATAGGTCTTCCGTGTTCTGCAAACCATTCATTTGCAATAGACCTGGTAGTGGAGAAACGGTCCCTTAAGGCCAATAATCTTAGGCGGCGATCTTCACGGTCTGTTGTTCTACGGCGGCGTCCAGTGCCCCTTGCTCTTTGCGTACGGCCTACTCGAAGCCATGCCTGACAACACCTAACCACAGTGTCTACACTTCTTTGCACTCTAACTGCAATTACCCGAAAAGAAAGTCCAGCTTCCCGAAGTCAAACTATACGGCCCCTATCAAACTCACTAAGTTGACGAAATCGTACAGGTCTCCGTACTCTAGGCATCGTAACCGATCGTAAAGGATGTCAAGAACCAAAATCCGCCAACGTTGATTCTTTACTGCGGCTGAAATATTCATTTTTAGAGCGTTAGTGAATTAACAAAAAGCAGTATAAAAACCGGAATGTCCAACTCATAAGGCTGAAAATTTTTTCACTTGTTATTTACAGTAAGATAAATACATTCACCAACTTTTATTAAAATAAAACCATTTAAACTGGGTGTTCGGATTTATATGTCACTGAGTATATTCTCAATACTTTTTATTTAATATAGTTGTTTTGTGCCTATTGTGGGTGTTTTATTGTTACGTACTTACTTTAAATTGCGTGGACTAAATAAAAAAATCCATCTAGTCCCCTTTTGCATTCCTATGTACGCCACTGTAGCTGCGCCGAGTGTAAGGTTAGACGTTGCATGTGATGTGTATTGTATATAGAGTTCAATGTCAGCTTTCTCTCAAGAGAAGGATTTGCCGTTTAGTTCTAGATGGCGGATTTTGCAATTTTACATTGACAAGAGTTTTTAGGCGAAATGTTGGGCAATATGCTGGCGACCACGGGTCAGAATGCTGTTTTTTGCTGCACATTCCGTTGTCTAGACGTTTTTTTGAACGTTCCTCCAGAGGTCAGCTCTGTTTGTTTACTACATAAATGTTGATATCACGTACTTGAATCATTGAATGTGCAGTAAAAAGAACGGTTTTAAGAAGAAAAGACGTGTTAGATCAAAAAACTTTGATTATATTCCTCTTACTACTGAAACCAGTTAACAGCATAGACAGATATTTAAATGATAGCTTTGCTTTCCCCAGTTGCCTAATACCACGTTAAGAAAATTTGCAGGCTCCTAACTTTTCAGAAAATCGGTTTTTCCAGATTCCTTGTAATAATTCCGCTGAACCTGTAATGAGCTATAATTGGGTCTGAGGAAGGAAGAAAATTTTAAATCGATGAACTGATGATGGAGTGATCAGACCTATTAAAGTCTACTTTAAGCTTTAAATCAATAAATCTTCAAAACTACTGACCTGAAGCTCATGTATTTTACATCATTAAAAAGGGAATTGAAAGACCTTTAAAATAAGGTATCTCTCGACCCCCCTTTCCATTTAAGATTTTAAGGTTGGTGTCACCCCCGCCCAGGCGGCTGCACGTGCTAACGTGATTTTTTTCCAAACTTGTGTCCCCCTCGAACACAAAATCGACGAGTCTGAACGTTTTTCCAAAAAAAACTGAGCTGCCAAATGCGTCTGTTTCGTTTTCGATGCGCCACCCTGTATATATAGGAATAGTGCGTTTTAATGTCTGACATCGACATCAACAGGTCTCATCAACTAGAAAGTACCTTTTGTTATTCAAGCTCATCATACTCATTTCCAGGGCCAAATAGGTAGGACCTTTCTTGGCGTATTGGTCTTATGTCAGAGTTTGTACACCCGTACTATAATATTTAGGATGTAGCTTTATGCCTGCCCGAGCATATAAAATCCTCATTCGTCCACGAATGCTTTTATGGGTCTGCTGCGCCACAAGGGTTTCTATAAAGTTTAACCAGTGTAGGTGGATGAACCAGTTTACATTGTTTTGTATGAAAAATAACTTAAGGAGGGTGATATAATGCTGCGAAACCGTATAACAGCTTGGCAGTAGATCTCAAAAATCTGAGCCTCTACAATATAAAAAAAATTGAAAGCTGATTTCTCGCACGAACAAAGGCCTAAGTTATAACCAGCTCGCTGCGTTTTGTTGGATAATGCCTGAGTATGTCTCTTTTTAAGTCATTTTGTTCTTTTTTTGAATGAGGTGTTCTCGTGTTCTATTTTGTATTGTATATTATATTTTGTTTTATATATAGAGGATGTTTCTTAATGATTTGCGAATATTTAAGGGTGTGAATCTACATGGAAACTTAATGGTAGTTTGCTTTATAAACTATGGTCCAAAAATGTTTCCCTACAATAACTCGGGGTGTTGAAGTTTTAGGAAAAAAATGGAAATTAATTAATATTTTCAGAACCGCTCAAGAAATTTCACTGATATTTGGTACGTAGTGGAAGTTAATAAAGTTGCATATTTTTCAATGCAAAAATAGTTTTTGCTTCAACAGTTGCGTGCGTACGGGTATTGACTTCGATACATTTTACGAAAAAAATGGTACGCCAATGCTTTTCTGCCAAATAAAAATTATTTTTGAATTCTTCGTTCAATTTGAAACAAATGATCTTTCTTGAATTGTTTTTTTAAGATGCGCCATTTTTGAGTAAAAAAAATAAACACCGTTCTATTGTCTAACTTGCAAAATTATTATTAATTTAATTGGGAAAATTAAACACATTAAGAGTAATGAACAACAACAACTGACAACATAAAAATAACATTAAAACCAATGAAATGATTAGAAAAATTATTGAAAATGGCCCCCTCCACTCCTTCTCATGGAATTCCGCACTCGTTGGAATATCCCTGGAGTGTTTTTTATTCTATCACAAGCTGCAACTATTCTTTCTCTTAATTCCTCTACAGTGTTAATGGGACTTGTGTACACTAGTGTTTTAAGATAGCCCCACAAAAAGAAATCTAAACTGTTGAGGCCTGGGGACCTTGGTGGCCATTCTTGGGGCCCACCGCGGCCAATCCAACGATTTGGATAAACAGTTTGTAAATAATTACGTACCGCTACACTGAAATCCGCTGATGCACCATCATGCATGCACCACATATTGCTTCTTTTTACTACCGGAACATCATCAAGCAGCAAAGGCAACTGTTGTTGAAGAAAATTGAGGTAAGTCTGTCCGTCAAGTTGTCCCGGTAACAAGAATGGCCAATAAAGTGGTTGCCAATAATTCCTGCCCATACGTTAACGGAAAATTGGTGTTGGAAATGGGTTTCGGTTACGGCATAGGGATTTTCTTCTGCCCACAAATGATTGTTGTGTAAATTCTGAATGGCATTTCAAGAAAAATTAGCTTCGTCCGTGAACAGAGTCATTGATTCAAATTGCGGATTTTGTGTAATTTTCTGAAGATACCACTGACAAAAGATCACACACCTTGAAAAATTGCTTCCTCAATTTCAGGTGTTCTCACACTTAGAGGTCTACCTTCAGATGTTCCTTTTCGGACAGAACCAGTTTCAAAAAGACGACGATGAATATTAGAAGAGGTTCGACTATCTGGTAAAGCACGATCGGGATATATCTGGTAATAAATCCGTCTAGCTGGCTCACCATTACCGTCGGCAAGGCCATATACGTAATGCATTTCCGCCATTTCTGCATTTAAATAATTCACCATTATTAACAAAGTTGTAAAAACTAAATAATGTAAAAGATGTCACAGCGAACAGATGTCAGATGTCAAAAGCCAGTGACACATTCCAGAGCAACTAGATATTTATTGCTAAATTGCATTCTTCAATTATTACATTAGTTTTCTCGGACAATAGAACGGTTTTTATTTTTTTTTCTCAAAAATAGCGCATCGTAGGAAAACAATTCAAGAGAGATCATTAGTTTAAGTAAGTACTATCTACTGGCCAGATGTTAGCAAATTCTTAAAAGAAGGTTTACCGGTGAAATTGTCATGCAAAGGTAGTAGTAGATCTATAATCTGCTTAAGTCATATAGTTGTCAAAAGAAGATTTATCAAATGATTAACATGTTGACGGTCGGATCGGTGACATCCTCATGCAAAGGTAACTCGTGTTGCCATACACCAAGGTCCTAGATGTTTGCAAATTGTCAAAAAAAGATTTATCATCATCTGATCGAATTATGGATCCACGGACACGGTCGTACTAGCAACGCGATTCTTCGTGTCCATCGAAGAAGACGAGCGTATCGGAGGCTCGCAGCAGTACCGGAAATAAGTGGGTCACAGTATATAAAGTCAAGTTCAAGGCGTTTGACGGGGCATTTCTGTTGAGTACCGACGAACAAGTGCGCGAGCGATCTATACATCAAGTGATAGTGCCTTTTACCAAGCTTTTCACCTATTTTTTATAACACAAACATCTACAGGCAAGTACTACTATATTATACAAATATGCACTCAATATGAACTTCAGAAATGTTTACACACATTCTTACCCCTTCAGTTTTGGAATAAGTAGTACTCAATACAGATCTCAAATATATGGATAGTCTGAGAATGATCCGTATAAACTTTTGAAGTTTGACGTAAAGCTGACTCAGATTTCACCAGACTGAGGAATTTTGGGGTTGGAGGGGCGTATCTTTCAGATACAAGGACAATAATTTTGGTACACAATACTAGCCTCATTTGGATATTTAGTGAAGATATCGCAAATATGATCAGAGATTGAGGAATTTTTGAGTTTGGAGGGGTGTGTAGGTATGTGACGTATTTCAGATTCATATCCAAGGATTATTAGGTATTTTGTGGTGGTATATGTTATAGGTATTCCAAGAATACTTGGATATAATTTAAAGTATTTGGCGCCTGAAGTTTTTTACCCTATCTGACCTCTTCACAGCTACTTAGTTAACCTCGTTACTTGCAGCTATTCTTTATTCTTACTTCCTATACAATTTGGTGATGATTGAAAGGTATTTGGTTCTGAAGAGAATCCAAATCACTTTGGTCTATAACAGTTTCCTAGTTTCCTACATTGTACTTAATGTATTTTTAATAGAATAAGCTGCTGGGTTAAGTAAGTCTGTTGACCTAGTTAGGTATCAGTCGCCTAAACTTCGATACTTACCACATGATGACTGTGTTAAATACATTTTGGTATGATTTGAGTTAGATGCAAAAGTGTCTGATAAAATATTTGGAGAATAGCGAGAGAACGCGATCCTTTGTAGATCTAGGTCATTGTATGAATTACTGTAAAGCAATTTTTCCGATGACCGCTTGGAAAGTTTCTTCAGTTTTAACCTGATGGCATATATTCTCGTGTATATACAATATACATGCAATATGTTGGACGTGCTTAGCATGCTTCGTTAAGGTATTCATTTGATAAGGAACTTTGTTTCGTATTAAAAGCAAATCTAATATTGGTTTTTACTTATTGTATAGGCATTCTCTAGACAAGTATTTACCTACACATTCTTTAGATCACAGGGAAGCCCACGGCACTTATTTCTCTTGGTCCGATTATCTCTCAGTCGGGATATTAGTTGCTTTCTCTGTCAATCTATTTCTTTTTGATGGTTTTTTTATTTATCTGGCTCGCTTTGGTAACAACACTTTCATTGGTGGTTGATACTAAGACCGAGAAAACTATTAAAATGACTCCATATTACTTTTTGTATATTTTTGCAGTTTTTTCAGAAACTCGAGAAGCGTTTGACGTGTGTCATACCTGCCCAATTTGAAAGTTGAATAGCACTGATCGAATATTGCTAATATTTTGATAGTATACTGCTTTGATGTAGACAAAACGGTTCAGTAGTGTTTGAAAATTGATACAGTAGCGGAGTTATGGTCAAAAGGCGAAAAAAAGCAGAACAAAATTGTTCAATCTTCGTTTTTCGACATTTCAGAGTCGCAACATGAGGTGGGGGGTTGTAAATGGCAAGGGGAGGGGGTACGTTTAGCGTTCTATCGATTATGAGTCTTGTACACCGGCAAACCTTTGCGTATGTTGGTCGTGTTTTTCTTAGAAGTACAAAATTTTATTTTTGAGTATAATTTCGTCATACAACTTATTTAAAAAAATAAAAGTTTGAAGCAATTCCGGGTAGCTACTTGAAAGTGTTTGATTGAAGCCCTATAACTTATGGAAGACGGAGATACAGTGAAAGGATATTTTAAAAAGTTTTTCGGATCATCGAATTGGAAAATATTTGTGAGCTCAATTGAGTTTGCTTTATCATACAACTAGCAAAACATCTTCATACCACATAGCTCAAAGATCTTTTGCTTGACATTAAGGACGTTATTTTTTTATATGCCACTTTACTACACTTCTAACAAATACTCAAAATATGAAATTCTACTATTCGCAATTTTATAATACAAGCAGCTTATGTAAATGTATGGAATGTTGCTACTGCGTCAAGCTACTTGATCCCATTCTTATTAAACGCCCGGCCGCCGATAAATTATTCGATTGCATATACACGCCTCATAACCCAACCACAAATTCGACAATTACAGTTACAGCAAGCAGTCTTTAAAGCACGCCCAATCCTTTTTAAATTACGTTTGTCGATGGATCGGATGTAAGAACATCGGCATGACTGTGCTTGTACTCATCGGCAGTGTTGTCGGACAGAAAGTGTGTGACCTACTTTAGCGTCTCCGTTTAGTCACTTTAGTTGTGTACCGGACCCGAGGAAAGGTCCGGAAATCAACGGTTTCATCACTTTACTAATTGTCCCATGGAGGATTTCCGGACATGCGGAAAACACGTAGATTTTTTTCAGTACTGTTAGAGACACGAAGGAGCATTTTTGTCAACTTTTCAATTGTATACCTTTCGTGTTCTGGACAGACGCCTCGCTATTTCTTATCTACGATGATTCTCACGTAATAGGTCGTGCTAACTAGCCAAAAACGGATATTAATACAATTTTTCTTGAGGGAAAATATCTAAAGTGCTGGAAAGTGGCCTTAATAGTGCCAATTCCAAAATGTAAGGAAGCTGAACAGCTGTCAGCTCATCGTCCAATAAGTATTCTAGCTGGTATCTCGAAAAGACAGTCAGGTTTTCGTCCAGGATACAGTTGCACCACTGCACTTGCTAAAATAACATGATATCATTCAGTCGAATGATCTGGGTGAGTCTACCGCTTTAATACTATTAGATTTCACCAAGGCATTTGACACAATTAACCATGATGTCTTCCTGTCTATCTTAAAGTCATGTGGATTGTCTACTGGCAGCGTAAAACTTTTTAATTCATACTTAAGTGGCAGATCACAGTGTGTACAATTGAAGAATGAAATATCTAGTTCAAAGCCCACTACCACAGGTGTACCGCAAGGATCTATACTTGGACCATTGCTCTTCACTATATATACTAGTCAGGTCCTTAAATGTTTGGAATTATGTAAGTCACATGTTTATGCGGATGATACCCAGCTGTATTATTATTTTCCTAGTTCAGATTGGCCAGCTGCCGAGTTGAAAATAAACAGTGACTTGACTAACCTCTCTAAAAGATTGCAAGAGCATTCGTTAATATTAAATCCAAATAAGTCAGCTGCTGTGATCTTTGGTAAAGACCGTTCTTATGTGATTGAGAATTTAAATATAACCATAAATAATATTAGATTAAAATACTGTGATAAAGTTAAAAACTTAGGTTTAACAGTGGATTATAATCTGAGGTTTCGTGAGCACATATCAAACTGTATAAAAAAATCTTATCTGGCTCTAAAATTATTGTATCCTCACTGAAATTTTCTCAATTTAGACATCAAAAGCATTCTTTGCGAAACCTTGGTTTTATCACAGTTTTCGTACTGTGTTCCAATTTATTCTGCAAGTTTAGATTGTGATACATTCATGCATATGTTTTATATGTGGCATAAGAAAATTTGAAAGAGTTAGTCATAAGCTGAAAGAACTCCGGTGGCTAAATATGAAGGCTCGTTTTGAGATATTCACAATATACTTTTATCATAAAATTTTAACTCTCAGGCAGCCTCATTACCTCTACGAGAAAATAACATTCAGAAAAGACATCCATTCCGTAAATATTCGTTCGAAACAAAACATTACCGCTCCATTCCACAGAACTAAATTTTATGAAAGATCATTTACGTATAATATATATAAGCTATACAATCCTATCCCCCAGTGATTCTTACCTTGAATGTATAAAGTAGAATTATTCTTACTGCGGAATTTCAATTTTATTTTGATTGCATTGCATTATTTTATTTATATTTTTTTTTTCATATGATGCATAATGTACGTATATGTATTCATATATCATTCTAGACTTTTAAATTTACCACCACGTTTTCTCTTTGCTCTTTTTTTTAAACTTAACTGTCGTTCATATTGGCGTTTATTTATGCGGTATGTATAGGTATATATATCTATATATTATTCTAGACTTTTTTTTTAATTTATTACCACATTTCTCACTTTTCTATCTTATTTTTAAAAAAACTTACATGCTGCACTAGGTAGTGGTTTTCAAACAGTCTACATTTGTTTTATTTATTTTTTTTATTTTCCTTTTTTTGGGTTAATACTCATGTTTCTCTTTCTGATTTCTTTTTTTTTCTGAGAACTGTTTGGAAATAAAGGCATTTATTATTATTATTATTATATTGATGCGTAATAAAAACTTTGTAGAAATTAAAGGGTCAATCTACTGGACGCATTCACAAAAAACTGCTCAAGCATCCCAATTTTCATTAGACTCTTAGCTGTACATTGATGAATTAGTAATCACAGTTAAAAAAAACTGATCTTCCGATCTGCAAACCGTGTAATAAGAAAATAGGTACAATTACGGCAACGCTAATTATCAACTTGGTACCATCGACTAGTGCAACAACAACAAGTGGTACCGTGCATTAACGGACTGGTGACTTGAGAAAACCATTTTATTTCTTGCTGGGTCGTTCACCTGACATACCATGATTTTGTATATCGGTGAGGATCTCTTAAAATTAAGAGAAACCGACGTAATCTAGTGTGAAGTGCTGGATCGGGGTTATACGATGGTACCGTGGAGAGGCAGATTTCTCTGTACATATAGTACGAGAACCTACTTATCATTTCTAAAGGATTCCTTAAAATAGTGATTTGGCAATTTGCATTTTTATGAAATTTACAAAAAACATCATCGAGCAGTCTGATTACAGGCTTCCCGCTCACATATTGAAGCTTCGAACGCTCAAACGGAATAATTGACATTCGTGGATAGTTTTTGGCAGTGGGTGCATCCAATTTGGCATAAGAGAACGATACGGATGCATGATATTCGTTATCAAAACGTATTGTCCATAGCAACATTTCTAACAGAACGTCGTCAACATTGAAGAAACTCAGTTAAACTTACCTGATATTTGCTTTTGTGAAGTTGCA